AATGCTTAGCCCAGACCTCGTCCCCGGCCACGCAATCCCCGCCCTATGCCACTACCAGCTCTGCCCCTAGTTGAATCGCTGCGGCTGATACCTCGTCCTCCTTGTCCGCCTACTCCAACATAATTGCCTGTAGAAGATGTCGAGGCACCTCGCGGTCGGCCCCTGCCCCTACCCCGCGTGCCTGCTTTTGCTGCAGCTTCGGCCCTTTGACGGTCTTCTTCAATCTTCCTTGCTGCGGCCTCTCTCCGTGCCTGCTCTTCAGCTGCGCGACGTTGTGCAGCCTGTTGGCGATGCGCTTGTTCTTCTTCAATATCAACTAGATCCTGCGACGCGCCTTGCCATTGTGGGTTCAGAATAAGGCGCTGGTTGTGTTCGGTTTGCGACAGGATGCGGGTCCATGTCTGCAGTAGGGTGGATGCGTTTTGCACAGTGCGGGCCACGGTCTTGGAAACATGTCAGCTGAAGCATTGTGTATCTTCCAAATTTGTCCCTTACAGCCATGTTGTCTTTGGCCTTTTGTAGGCTCTCAATGACACCCTCAATGACTTTGTTCACGTTTCGTATGCTCTCTAGCTCCCTACGCAAAGCCTCCTCCCGCGCCTCTTCTGCAGTATAATGGGATTCTTTTGCGCGTGGTCTGGAGCCGGTGGCGCCTTCTGCATCGCTTTCGACATCTTTTGTCTTGTTCGTTTTGCGCGCTGCGGGGGTGTCGAACAACGCGTCGCCGTCCGTATCGGAGTCGGAGAGGTGCAGCGCGCCCAGATTTGGTGGATCCATTGTGCGCCGTTTTGCCTTTGTGTTCTCAGCAGAGCAGAACACGTAGCACTGTTCGAGCTGGCAGGGTTTCGGACGAGCTGACAGGTGTTTGGCGTGTTTGACGTATTTGGGTTGGCGGGGCAGGCGTTAGGCGGTTAGGGCAGGCCGGGGGGGTGGAGGGTCCGGGCGTTTGTTGATGTGCGCCCGCCCTGACCGCTTTGCCAAGGAACAGCACCCGCCATCTCCCAGCCTCGTCACTTCCTTCATCTTGCAGCGACCCTTCCCTATCTGAGGCAGCCCCCATTGTCTCCACCCGCCCTTGGACTGCACCCTCACCCTCACCATCACCACAAAGCCCAGCTATCGCATCCACGCCCGCGCATATCGCTACAGCATCTGTTGAGCCTTGGGACAAGTGCGCGCAGTGTCATTGGAGCTTCGCTTGACTTGTTTTGATTTTGGATACCCACTATTCATACCCATTGCTACACCAACATCGCAACTGCCCCCCATAAACAAACACGCAAACACCCAACATGGAACGCACCCCCTCGCCGCCCCGTCGCCTGCACACTCCGCCTGCACCGCACCATGGAGACAACTACGAGCCGTTTTCACCGCGTCGGTCCAGCAGAGTCGCCGCTCGACGCGACATTCACATTCACCACGCGCAATCAACCCCACGAGCTAGGCGCGACGTGACACCCACAGCTGCGTCAAAGTCACCAGCTGCCCGCGCAAACGCCTTGGCTCTCTCACCTCCCTCTTCACCTCAGCAACTCCGCTCTCCACGCTCCACCCGCCGCGCACCCTTGGACTCTACTCTACACGACTCCGACTCGGACTGCGCTGCACCTTCTTCAAGCCGACGCCTCCTCTTCTCTGCAACGATGGCACCAGGCATGCTACCAACACCAGCCAAGACGCCCCGCAAGCGCCGCGTCGACGACGTGAGTTCAACTGCGCGGGTCTTGTTCCCTACCAACCGACCTTCTACCATTGACGAGGCCATGCCAACTCCCCGCAAATCGCGCAAGACTAAGGATCTCTACACCCTTGAAAGTTTCGCAAAGCACATGGAGGAGACCACGGAAAAAATCCCCATCTACACGGATTCCAAGGAGCGCATTCCCACACCTGGAGCCCAAGAAGAGAACCCGTTCCTCACTACCAAGGGCAAGGGAAAAGCAAAGAGGGCTCCACAAAAATCGAAGAAGACACTAGACATCAAATCGGCCAAGATGGAGGAGGCAGTCGACCGTGACGAGGGTATGGTTTACATTTTCCGTGGCCGCAAGGTTTTCCGCAAGTTCCATGACGATGCCCCATCTGGCGCCTCGGACGCCGAGCAAGAAGACGAACTATCCGCCGATGACAGACGAGTTCGTCGCCAGATTGGTCACGAGGCCCGTCGCCCGCTCACTCGGTCATCTATCAAGCCAAAACTCCTGTTCCAAGCCGAGATCAAAGAGCGCAACCGTGCGAACGGTATTGAGGATGAGGACGACGAAGAAGCGGCAACCGACATTGAGCCGACGGTTGCTACGCCGAGCCGGAACAAGGGCAAGAACGTTGTTCAAGCCCCGTCTCTAGCCACCACACCGCCGCCTACTGTTCGCAAATTCAAGAAGGGTAAGTTTTCTCAACTATCGCTGCCGAATTATCTGATACTAACTTGATCTCAGAAATCTCTTTCGACTCTTGGACGCGAGTCAAATCAGCACACAGCTCCAGCAGTTCAGCCAAGTCATCCAAGAAACGCAGTGGGGAGCCGCTTGAGCGCGAAGCCAGCGACAAGCGAGCTCGAAGTGAGCATTCCACCTCTTTCCTGTCAATCGACAAGGTCTAACGGCCAAACGCAGCCCGTTCGTCTTGATGTTAGTTTGCGTAATTAACGGGAATGGCGGAACAATGGCCATTGTCACCTACCAGATTAGGTTCTCTGACATGTTCTGGTGCATAACCCATTTTTGGTCATATTTGCATAGCAAGCGTTGTTTTTGTTTGACCTACTTTTCTTCTTCTTTTCTTCTTGCTCTTTTTCCCACCTCTTTCTGTTTTTTCCTTCTTTCTAGAAAGAAAAAGATACCCCATGATTACGAAAGAAGAGGAAAACAGTGTCTGACAGCTTGAAGCCAGCACTTTTTCTTCCAAGTAGCTCACTCTGGTTTTGCAAGCCCGAGCTTCTTTTAATTTCTGTAATGTTTGGGGAGAGATGCGAGGGCTCCGACCATGTTCGTTGATTGCCTCGCGCGAAGGGAGGATGGTATGTAGGTAGCGTACATATATAGATGACGAGCTGCGACTCGGAAACGTTAGGAATTAGCGGGATCGTATTGGTCCCCCTCAGGCGCCTCTGGACAGGGTCGAGGGAAATACGGGGGTAATGACGGCGGGGGGAGTAAAGGCGACTTTTGTAGTTTAGATGAATGTGAAAATATAACCAAGTACCCAAATTTCCTACTCCCATCTCATGACCATGGTTTTTTGCTAGAAGCGCTCAATTATATAAACTACATTTTTTACTACTAATACATCTGGTATATATATCCCCTCTAATCTCTTAGCCAGAGAGCCATGAAAAAACCAAAGACTAAAACGATCCACTCATCGCCTTCGCGGTTCCAAGCTCAGAACACAGAAATAAAACTACTTCTTCTTATCCACTTTTGTAAAAAAACTACTCATCTTCCTCATCCCACTCGTATCCACCTTCTTCAACTGCTTGATGCCCCTCCCCTCCATCTTCTTCTTCTTGTCTTCCTCCTCCTTCTTCCGCTTCTTCTCCTCCCGCTCTGCCATCTTGTCGTCGTCTTCCAGCACTGCGCGCTTCCGCGACACGTTGTCTGTTATGCTGCGGAGCGCTGCGGCTTCGGCTTTGAGCGCGGCGATGGCGGAGAGGTGTGTGGATAGCGGTGTGAAGCGTGGGGTTAGGAGTGGGGTTAGGAGGGAGGTTAGGGGTGGGGGTAGGTAGGAGGATGTGAGGTAGGTTAGGGATGTGCGAAGGCGAAGGAGGTGGGGGATTTCTGGGGGTGTTGTGAGGGCTGGGGTGACGGTGTCTTCTTGTGTTGTTATTGTGGTGGTGGTTTCTGACTCGCCGGTTTCTGTGTTGCTGGTTGAGACGGCGCTTAGAGTGCTTTCTTCGCGCTTGATGTTCATGATGGGGATTTCCAAGGCGGTTTTTATGAATTTTTCTTCAAGAGAGGCGGGGAGGCCGCGCTGGATCATGCGTTCGGCTTTTGCGACTAGCACTTCGATGAGTTTGGGGAGGGAGATGCGGTACATGGTTTCGTCGCCGGCGTCGACAGTGTCGCAGATGAGGCGGATGCGCTTCTCCAGCATGGATTTTAGGGATGCATGTTGGGATAGGAGAGCCTTCCAGTGCGGCGATGAAGAAGACAGCGTGTCGAGGTAGTCGTCGAACGCAAGGAAGTGCTGTTTTGTGTCTTTTGCGGTCTTGGGTGCGAGCGCGGGCAGGATGAGGAAGAGGAGATCGACGGGCGTGGCGATGAAAAGATCTGCGCTTTTGGCGACATATCCACTGCTTATTCTTGAGGCATCTGTATCTTCCTTCTCTTGTTCTTGTGTAGTGCCATCGTTACTGGTGATGAGCCAACTTCGGCAGTCCTTCTTTGGGGCCGCAATGCGAGTGAATTCGTAGAAGCCCCTTTCTGGACAAAAGAAGTAGCGCGACGGTGCCTCATTTGCAGGATTATCCAGAGTGACTATGCGCGCATCCCGAGAGGCATTCTTAGGCAAGACAAAAAGTTTGGGTGGGTTTGGTGCACTTGCGGGGAGTGACTTTGAGGTACATGTGGTGGGCTCTGGTGTAGTTTCTGTAGGTGTCGCCTTGGCGGGTTTTGAGCGTGTTCGTGCCATTGCAGCAATGGTATTTGATGTCTGTATAAACCAAGTCTATTGCAATCTCCGGGTTGTATGTTCTGTTCTGTTCTGTTCCTGGTGCTAGGGTGGTGTTCAGTCGCGTCGCGTGCAAGCAACGCGCGACCCCTGCAAAGACGCCAGTTTCGGATTAGATGAGAAAGCCGTTCCCACAGGCGCTGTCATGTCTGGGATCAACCACGCAACCCGGTGTCAACAAACGCCCACGGCTTTCGGCTACACCTTTGCGCTCACACTCACACTACCAAACGCCCAGGCACACGCCCGTTGAGAGCCTCATTCTGCCCGTGTTGCTATGGGCCCTGTTGAGAGATACACGCTCACAACACTGCACCACCACAACAATGATTGTGCGCGAGAGTCCAAAGGCCAAAGGTGCGTCATTCGCGCTGAGACTACCATAAACACACGCGCTGAGTGTATCCGTACAGTCAAGGATAATCAACCAAACTGGCCCCCGCAATCGTCTGTGGAAGCATTGCTCAGCTCGCCCTCTGCACGCAGAAAATACGAGAGTCGCCGCGAGCGCAACTCCGTCTCACCCTCCCCCTCGAAGCGCCGCCCCATGTCGCGCGACTACACCCAGCCCACGAGCGATGGGGACGACGATGACGAAGAAACCCTACGTCTCCAGTTGCAAGCCATCGAGGCAAAGTTGAAACTAAAGGCATTGCAAAAGAAGAAAGCAGAATCTGCCGACGCTGACCGTAATGGAGCGTCCTCACGAGCCAGCATAGCCAGCACGATGCGCAGGGCTGACCCATCGCCATTGAGCAGTCAAGAAGCGGGCGTACAGGTGCCACGCTCTCCCACCCGAACACGACCACCACCCGACGAGCCAAAGAGTCCTGCACGAGTCATGCTGGGCATCGACAAAGGACTGACGGCACGTGATATTAGTCTCAAGCGGCCTTCGAGCGTTCTGGCCGGGCGGGCGCGAGCGGGGTCGCTCAAGGGCAGCGAGACCCCTAAGATCAAATCTTTCAGCGAGCGCATTGCCGAAAGCAGGAACAGAGACAAGGACCGTGAAGAGAGGGAGGAGAAGGCCGAGCTGAGGAGAAACAGAGGATTTGGCTTGCATACCATCGAAGGCTTAGCAGAACGGCCATCACTTTCTAGGACCAGTTCTTCTCAAGGCTCTGAGACACCGAGTTCGCGCGAGATGCCCCCGCCGTTTTCAAGACGTACCAGACCTCAGAGCCGCTCCGTTGATTTGAGAATTCCACCCTCCCCTCGACCTGGCTCCACCTTGTCTTTCCGCAACGACACTTCACGTCCGGTGTCCTCGTCTTCCAAGGCATCTTCCTCTAGTTTTGGCTCAATCCCAACCGTTTCTCGATACGCCGAGATCTCGTCCCGAGATGACAGCTCAGAGGCCCCTAGCTTTGAGCCTTTTTCTGGTCTGCACTTGAAGTCGCGCGAAATGCAGCACAATGTCGTCACTCGTACTTTGGAAGGCAAGACTGTCCTCACTATTCCCCAGTTGCTCAAGACGGTCAAGGCACCAGAATATGAACCCCCGGATTGGGAAAACGACTATGTTGTACTAGGTGTCATTTGCTACAAGTCAACACCGCACAACTCCAAGAATGCCGCTAAAGATCAGACTAAAAGCAGTCAAGAATCGGCAACGGATCAAAACGGCAAGTTCATGGTAATCAAGTTGACTGACCTTAAGTGGGAGCTGGATCTATTCTTGTTTGATACCGGCTTTTCCCAGTTTTGGAAACTTCCCCTCGGCACAGTTGTTGCCATCTTAAACCCCGACATCATGCCGCCACGGAACCGCGACACAGGCAAGTTTTCCTTGAAGCTGACTAGCTCAGACGACACCATACTTGAAATTGGAACTGCACGGGACTTGGATTTTTGCAACGCGAAGAGGAAAGATGGAAAAGATTGTGGTCAATGGATTGATGGCCGGAAAACGGAATTTTGCGAGTTTCACATCCAACTTCAGGTGGACAAGGCCAAGAAAGGCCGTATGCAAGTCAACACCATGACTGGCTTTGGTGGAGGCCCGGGTAGCAGCAAGTTTGGCATGTTTGGTCGAAGTGGCGCTTCGAAAGGTGACGAGCTCAAGCGCGAAGGAAGGTATCATGATCGCGAACTGCATGAGACTGTGTACATTGCCCCACGACCTGGAGGCGCTGCCAAGCTCATCGACCGGGATCACCAAAACTGGGAAGGGGGAGTGAGCCGCGAAGACCGCTTTCGAAAGCAACTGGCTGAGAGAGAGAAGGAGCGCGAACTTGCTAAGAAGCTAGGCACTATAGGAGACGGCACTACTGGAGCTGATTACTTGCGGTCGAAAGGCGCTGGCACTCCGAGCCTACCCACCAGAGCACGCCCTTCTTCTCTCATCTCGACAAGTTCAAGGCTAGACAAGCCGGCCGAGACGGACTTCTCCAGCCTACTCAATCGCACGTCCAAAGACATCTCCCTGGCACCTGTAAAACGAAAACGAGCCGCTTCGGGCAAATCGGTCACATCGACCGATCCAGTAGGGTGGGCATTCAAATACGGACGAATCCCGTCTCCCAAGAAGGTAATACCTTCGGCATTTCGCGGCACGCGTGAGGCGAGTCCTGCGAAGAAGAGGGCTCGTCTACTGTTAGATGGAAAGGGCATACGTGAGCCTGGCCGAGAAAGCCTTGGCGGACTCGACGTAGGACTCATCGCTGCCCTCGACGATGACGACGACGATGATGATTTGGAAGTTGTCTGATTGATTTTTGTTGTGCTAAAGGCGTTTTGACGTGCGAAGAATATCCCGACATCATAGGGGATGATGGTATGGCGTTACAAATACAGCTCGCTGATTGGCTAGAGCTAAGCGAAAACGGATATTTCGACTTTTCTGGGCTCTGGATACCACATGGAGGCTCACCACAGCCTTACAGTAACGATTTTCACTAGTGTACAATATCAATTTTTCTTTTCACATACCCAACATTGGGCCCTGCATTTCCATCGTTGACGCTATACACGAGATACCCACTTTAAGCTTCTCTCCTTTTTCTTGCAGGTGGTTGCCATAGCGACGCCGTCCGGAGAGAAATCAAGGCACTGGAAAAGTGAAGGGTCCAGGGGTTTAGGTCAGGCAGCATGGCGTCCACAGGGTCTGAGATCGGCGATAAGATTTACGCCCTGATCAACTACGAAGATCCCTACGTCCAGCCCCTCATACTGTCCGCCCTGGAGAAACGACTTCCATCATCGTCGTACGAACTCATCACTTCGCTATCCCAACTTCCCACTCCCTCATCCCGTCTTTTGCAGTTTGTTCAGTATGAATCCATTGATTTCGACCACCTCATGGAGCATTCATCTACCTCTCTGGCCAACGCCTACGTGATCCGCAAAGCACTGATCCGGAAGCATTATCTTAGCACCACCATTGCCAACTGGATTACCAAGTACCCTGACTCGGTTCTCAAGAAACACGTCAAGCCCAGTGTGGAATTCGAGGTCGACTATGCCGAATTTCTGGACGATGCGCTAGTAGAAGCATGGGAACTGAAGGAAAGCTGGGCACGAAACGAAGAGCTTGGTGATGATGAAGATGGTGCTTCTTCCAGCAGAAAGGAATGGTGGATCCTGAAACCAGGAATGAGTGATAGAGGCCAAGGCATCCGCCTCTTCTCCAGTGAGCAAGAACTCACCGAGATATTTGAGGAGTGGGATCCAGACAGCGACAACGAAGATGAAGAAGAAGATGCCCCCAGCGATTCCAATACGCAACAGTTGAAAATAGAAAAAGACGAGGACAACGGAATCATAACCTCCCAGCTCCGCCATTTCATCGCTCAACCATACATACACCCGCCTCTTCTCCTCACCCCACCAAACAACCCCACCAGTGACCTCCGAAAGTTCCATATAAGGACCTACATTCTCGCCACCGGCACCCTAAAGCTCCACGTCTACAAACCGATGCTCGCTCTCTTCGCAGCCCATCCCTACCTGCCCCCCTGGTCCACTGACGTTGAGCCTAACAGCCAGGAAGCTATGCGCGCCCACTTGACCAACACTTGTCTGCAGGACAGCGGAGATCGAGAGGGTTCCGTGGGTTTGTTCTGGGATTTACCAGATACTCTGCCCACCCAGCCAAGTTTCTCCGGATCATCTACCAGTGAGGGTGGAGATGCAGGACGCAAAGTAAACGTACCGTCAAACTGGAAAGATACAATCTTCCAGCAAATCTGCGATATTACTGGATCAACGTTCGAAGCAGCAGCGAGAGGAATGTCTATTCACTTCCAGCCCCTTCCCAATTCTTTTGAGATTTTTGGTCTGGATTTCATGGTTGGAATCAGTGAAGAGACTGGTGGGTTGAATACGTGGCTGTTAGAAGTCAATGCTTTTCCGGATTTCCGACAGACGGGGAGCGATTTGCAGGGACTTGTGAATGGGTTGATGGAGGGGGCTGTGGAAAAGGGCATTAAGCCGTTTTTTGGACTTGAGGGAGCGGAGAATGGGGATATGGTAGAGGTACTGGATGTGGATTTGGGGAGGAGGTAGATGGTTTGGTTTTCTTGTGTCACGAGTATGAGGAATGTGCCGGCAGATTGTCATATGCTCCTTGCAGCCACGAGACTATGGATCATGTAAAGGCATTTTGATGTCTTATTGAATTATTTCCCAATCTCCTTTTCTAAGTGATGAACTAGGGTAATAATTGAGGTAATCTCTCCATTCAAAGGTCACAAGCTGTGTCGAAGAGTCAGTATATAATGGCTCTACAGACTATGTTGATTTCACTTGGCAAGTATCATGTGCTTCAGCGATATCTACAATGGTATTGAATCTTTCGCTTGCTATGAGGAGGGGTATAGTACAATGCAATACGCGCGCTTTCCTCTTTCTTCCTTTCTATATTTTCTCTTTTTCTTTACCGTTTCCCAATGATTGGTAGGTATTTGTACAATTCATCATACTCCTTGCCCACCCATCCTGGCATCAATCCCTCTAGACCTACAACACCAAGACTACCACCCAACCATAGCAAAGTCAGAGCAGCACTAATTCCGTTGATGGTGTACCACCTCCTCTTCCTGACCAATGCCCTGTTCTCTTCTGTGTTCTTTACTTGGCTTGGTGCAAATCCCAGCCACTTGGCGGCACCCCAGACAAAATGCCATGCGCCGACGCTCACAAGGGCTGTGAAGCCGGCGAAGGAAACCTTAGGATGTAGCGCAAAGCCATGTGAGATATAATTTAGACTGATCAGCGATGAATCGCCGTGTGCATACAACGGCAATATTCTTGTTGTCCAGATATGAAAGCCAGCCAGGGGTACTAACGCATACCCCAAAGCACTCGTCCCACTGACCACCGGCCAGGGAATGGTGCGCTTTTCCCTTCGTGTCTCAGCGCCATACCGCAGCAGCGCTTGCCGCCTTCTCCAGAATCGCAGCGCAATTCCAGATGTAATATGTGCGGCCAATGGCAGAGCAACGAGCAGGGGTTCTGTGAGAGCGGACTGGTAGTAGGGACGGGTGAGAAGAAGGTAGCGGTTACTTTCAACGACGGAGCGGGTAGCCAATGGTATTATGGAGACGTTTGTTATGTGCAGGGCGGCAAATGCGGTGAATGTGTACGACGAGTACTTTTGGATGCGAAGGACTATGTCGTGAGGGTACATCAGTAAGCGAATTAATTGTAAAAGGACAATTGCGACAACGTACGCCACCAAGCAGGACCTCTTTCACCTAACCTAAGTCCTAGAGTATTCATCCGTCTGATCCCCCTCATTTCCTCTGTCTCGCCCCCCTCGGGCCGCTCTTGGTCTGGGAAATAGCTCTTTTCTCGGTACTCGGGCGGTGTGTCGACGGGCGAGGGATCTACTTCGGTCAGCCCTATGACGCTGCCGTCGTCGTCGAACGGCAGGTCAGTGTTGACCTCCATGATTTTTTTTTGGCGAATTCAGTCGTGCAAGGTGAGTGCGGGAAACGGGGATTTATCAAGTATGGGGAAATGCATCAGGATGGGGAATTGCTTTGCTGGCTGAGACTTGGGATGACGTTGATTCGTGCGTGGGTCCGTAGCGGTGGGTCTGTGCCAGTTGGTGTGGACCGAGGCGGTGCGCCGCAACACTAAATGTTTCTACAACTTTACGCGTTTGTGAGACGCACCTGACGCGTGTTGAACCCACCAGTGCATTGAAAGGCGAATTCCTGTGTCTTTCAACACATTCAGAGTCTTATCATAGGGCTTTCTGGGAGATACCAAAATGCCTCCAGTACGTCACCTCTACCTTACCTACATCTCTTGTACCATGCATACATATATACTTACATGGCTTGCCAGCGCAACAATCCCCTCCCCGCCGCTGTGCGCCTCTTCAACTGCGCAATATGCGACAAAGGATACCCGCGCCAACTCGACTATGAAAACCACCTTCGCTCCTATGATCACAACCACCGCCAGCGCCTTGCGGACATGAAGAAGCTGACTGCATCCAACGAAGGCGAGAGCAGCACCAAACCCAAACAAGGCCTGGATATGCGCAGTATAGATGTTGAGAATGCGAACAAGAAGCCTGGTGTTGGGAGCCGGTTCACCAAGATTGGGGGTGGTGGCGGGGCAGTCGCAGCGGGGAGCAGGTTCAAGAAAGTGGGGGTCGCGGTGGGCGGAAAGGAGAAGGAGGCTGGATCTGAGGGTGTGGAAGCAAAGAAAGAGGAGGAGGGGACCAAGACTGAGGTCAAGATTCAAGAACCTGTTGTTGCTGCTACTGCTCCTGCTGTCGTACCTAATTCACAGGCGGATACCAAGGAAGTCACCATTATGGCGGATGAAGATGCAGGAGAAACTACCACGTGGGAAGAGTACGATTTCACCAAGCCGACGGGATGTGATCACGCAAGCTGTCCGGGTTGTAAGACGGATGGCATTTGGAGCGGCGAGTGGGTTGCTGTGAGCGGGACCTGAGATTTGACGTCCATGTGAGAGATGAATTCACTAAACGACTTTGATGAAGAAGATGTCTAGTTGTAAAGACGTTATTCATAATATCGACACGACGACGAAGAATTACCAGCCGCGGCAGCCTTGCGTTGTTTGAGGAACATGTAAGTGCTGTTCGACTATTGTACAGATTCGCGTCAGACCCTGCCTGTATCTTGTACGGTCTTCTTATTTTCCTAATTCCAGCCATAGCAGGCATAACTCAACTAAGAGCCCCAATATATCCCTGAAACTGAACTTGACTAACATTTTGGAGTCACTCCAGCAATTTGCTTTTAGAGAACCCAATGCCTAAGATTGCTCGAATTCTTTCCCTTGCGCAAAGCTTTAGGTATAGGGAGAAAACAAACGACAAATTTCTTTTCGTGTTTGTGGCATCTGAAATCGGCGCAAGGATAGCCAGCATCGATACAACTATCGTCTGCGGACTTATTCGGTTTCCCACCTCGAGTGAAGGCTGGGTTCTTTGCGAGAAGCATGCTGTGAATGCATAAAGGGCTGGATATATGTCCTATCAAGTTGTAGGTATAGGCGGTGTACTGGGTAATCGTATGTTCGTTCATTGACCGCATATCTTTAAAACGGCGCATCAGTTCGGTTTGTACATCTACAGGAAGCCAGTTGCATATAATATCCTCGCTGATATAAAAGTAGACTTGAAGTTCTCTTGGTCGTCTTCCGTTAATTGCAATACCTTTGCTGTCAGCGATCAGGCGCTTTGGCTCAACGCACTCCGTCAATCGAAGTGAACGTCGAACACCTCGACCATTCTTTTTATTCTCGTTATTCTCTTCGTCCGTCTCGATTTCAATAACCACTCTTTCCACAGCGTTTTGACCTCGTACGTCTTTCTCTTCAATCCTAGGTCGCTTGCGATGTCGAAGAATAGTGATTTGTCTGGCCTGCTTTGGTGGTCTTTCTTCTTGACCATAGATCACTCCACCAGCATTTCGGGTCGTAGGTGGATTTGGCGGAGCAATACTCTCTATGCGTGATGGCTGAGCGCATGTCCAGAGCATACTGGCACTTGTCTCGTTTTCAACTCTGTCACGCTGACGAAGAGAGGCTTTGAGGACTTCCTTCACAACTTCAGAAGACAACAGGTCCAGTATGCGGTCGCGTCCCCCTTCGTCTAACTTCTGCAGGTCGCTCAGGAGACCAGTGGCGTTGGTGTTATCGCACATATCGCCTTTGGTGTAAATGCACAAGAACAACCTTCAAGGCAAGGTTTTCGAATGTGTTGAATCCAAGGCGAGAGCAAGTAGAGTCTGTGTATCTTACTGGTATTTTGCCTTGAGTTCGTTTGCTAATTGCGACTAACCAGGCTTGGCACTCACCCTCGGTGAAGGTGAGCTATCACACAGTAGCAAAGTAGATAACCAAATTAGAGCTTAGAGCAACCGTATCACAGTGATAGTGAGCTCAAAAAATTATTGAGATTTTGGCCATGTCGTGAAACCGGCGATGAATGACAATCGTGATATATAGCCCTACTCACATGTGACACATTGGATGGGACAGTCAGGTGTACACGGCACTAGAAAAGCAATATGGCTTTCTCGAGAACACTCACACAACTTCTGGGTAGGACAACTACAACTGAGATTGCGTTGTGACATACCAAGAACATCCGACGACCCATATCCCAACAGCCGCCACAAAAGCCAAGCAGCTTACTCCATAGGCATGCCATCCATCCCCGGCAGCGCCTTCATCCACCCATCCCGTTCTTCGGGAACCCGATTTGGAACAACACACTTATTCCCATCAGCTGGCTGCTGCGTCTTCAAGCTTCCACAATTCGCTCCCATACAGCCTTTCGCATCATCCATGGCCTTCTGGAGGGAATCGTCTTTCCACCCAAACACGTAGTCGCCGTGCTGGCCGTACCCTGTTTTATCACCTGTGCTGAGGACAAAGGGCTGGGAACCATCAGCGGGCCAGTCGGCTTTGTTGTTGAATTTGGATGTGTCCCAGACGATCTAGTCACAGTCAGTGAATGAATAGAATAGGGTGGGGGGAAGGGTACCTCAAGCATGAGTTGTGGGATTCTAACGGGGTGGCTGGATGGACAAGCTCCACCTGTGCTGGTACCGGTGAATAAGGCAGGTCCGTTTGTCGGATATGCGACGTGCGATTTGTGATCTGGTGAGTCGAGGTTGACGCCGTCCCAGCATCTGTGTTGTATCAGCAGTGATGTGATGGTAACAGCAAGTTACTTACGTGGGGTAAAGAATGTTACTTCGGATACCACCTGGACAGGGTGTAGTAGGGAATCCTTCTGTGTCGAGTCTACGAGACGTTAGTAAAAGATAGCGGAGACATGAACGAGATACTCGCTTGGCGTCCTGGCACGGTGCAGCGTTGTCACCTCCGAAATTGGGTCCGGTGTAGCATCGGAAGCAAGTCTGGGACTTGCGGTTTCTGGATACACGGTTTGCTGCGTCGCCGACGAGCATGCGGAATCCCTGCATAGGTGGTTTAGATCTCTCTTGGCTATCCCTAGGATATCGGGCGGACTTGAGGCTTTTGCTTACCGGCTTGAACGCTGTAACATCGCCTTTGCTACCAGAAACGTAGTATACTACGAAACCACCAGTGGTCTTGCCAGTGTACTTGTCATTGAAGAGGTCGCTGACTATCATTAATACATTTGAATTAGAAAGATTAAGGTCGTGTATACGAACCGGTTTGGCACCTGTGGAACACGTTTGTACGTCCCATTCCTTGCTTTGAAATAGACATTCGCTGTCCAGTAATTACTCAACTATATATCGTCAGCTGTGTTGCATTCTTTCGTCTCTTTCACTTTAGCATATTTGCATCTACAAGACAGAAACGTACATCTTCACTATACCCACACGTAGTGCAGCTGGCTATTTTCGAAATATCTGTACTCGGCATCGTGGTATTGAACGCGTTACCACCTGCAATCTGGTGCATATGTGGTGAAGGTGCGAGACCTGGGTTCACGAGAGGATCAATACGATCAATGACGCTTTGAGCGCAGCCAAATCGTAGCATCGTGAAGCGCTGGTTGTTGCCGAACTGCGGCACAGCGCCTGCAAGGGCCGCGAAAAAGAGTGGCGTGAAACGCATTATGACGGATAAAGTTGTATTGGAAACAGAGTGCTGGTGAGAGACAAGAATATGTTTTCGAGAAGGTCTTGTGTACAGGTCTTCATATCTTTTCGAAGACAATGTATACAATTCAGACGCTCGAGTCTTCTGCTTAGTATTCACACTGCCCCATATCTCGACTGATACCTTGCAACTGCCGGCCCCACAGCATGCAGTAGGATCGCGTGAATATAAATTGTCCTTGTTACCTCGTGCGCACTTATTCACCGTCGGCAGTTGGGGAGCTAATATAGCGTTCTTGCATTTCGGCTAAAGGCTTGTTATTACTTGACCAACCTCAAGCAACGTTTTATGTGGAGCACATCATGGTTCGACAACATGGCATTGCGATGATTGTGGGGAGAATGGTATGCGGATGTGGATGGTGATATTGTGCAAAAGACTATCCAGTCACAGGTTGGCATGCGTAAGAGGCCATGACTGTGCCAAGTTTAGTTTCAACCGCTTTTTGACCGTCGTGGTGGTACGAATTCGACCTTTTTAATACATTCAATCTCAAAATGGAGAGATATGCTGGGAGTGCTGTCGGCTGACTTTCCTGGGCGCTTGGCATTATCCTTGATAGTAGTGAACACTTGCGGTCGGGAGGCGCATGTTGGAGGACCATCTGTACCCAACTTGTTTTGTATCAAGATTTCTGGACTTGACCATGTCGGTGCTCTCATTATGGAGTTTGAATATTCCAATGGCCTATGGCGGGGATTTTGAGTTACTGGTTCATCAAATCGCTCAAGATTTTTACAGGTCTCGTTACTTTGCAAAACCCCATGTTCTTCTGTGATAATGATCCAACCTCCAATTTTCTGGCACATACAACCATCGGCGAAGTACAAAATTGGGTCTCGTCCGCTCCCCAGACATTAAACCTTCGACCGGCGGACTAGTAGTCAGGTGGGTGACCACTGGCGAATCCCCGCTGTTGTATGTTTTTGTGATTTTTTTGCACCTGAGATAGTGTCACGTGACGGATGATCAACACGAGTCAAGTATCCAAACACTAGGCCTAGATAGGATCAGGACCCCAACATGAGTTAATTGGAATGCCATTAGGCAACCACTTTGTATTTCATGATAAACGTTATGGATCTAGAGTATTAGTGCAATTCGTAGTTCCTCGGAAATCCGAGGGGGAAATATTGACCGTCGGTACTGAGGCTGAAGATGCTGAAGCCGTAGTAGCCTCCTTCTCCTGCTCTTACCTAAAGGTAAGACCTCCTCGATTCCATTCGCCCGATTTGTGTCTCAGTCCTGATTTTCTTATTGTTCCAGTTAATCTTATTGTTCGAATCATGTTGAGCGACATTATGATGTTCATCACACAATAGCAGCGCTAATCCAAAGTAGATATCCCTCTCATCTTGGCATAGATTGGACAAATAGCAGCAGAGACCCTGACGGGTATCGAGATTGTGTTTTTCTGCAGGAGAATACCTGAGTGGTTTTATATGCAACTAGAGCTGCAGTTAGGGGGAAAACATACGCGAACATTGCAATGCTGGATCTGGGGAGCCTCGAAAAATTACGCCCATGTGGCAGACTGGAGACGTTCAGTACGGCACGACACCACCTGGGCTTCTACAAAAATGTAGGCTTCACTGCAGAATACAGAACTCAAGGAAATTTGGAACCTCCACTTGAAAGCCAGGTCTACGTCGCGCTACGCCATGTCATCGCTCAACACCCAGCCCTGAGCGCCATTGCTCTCAACGAAGACCAATCCTACCCAGACGTATACTTCGCACGATTACCCGAAATCGATCTACGCACTTGTACCGAATTTCATGATCGCAGGAGCCCATTCCCTAAAGATGGAGAGGCCGACGATGAGCTTGACGAACTGCTGGCACAGCAGCACAGCCGCGACTTCAAGGAAAACCTGGGGAGTAAGCCTTTTTGGCGTTTGCTCGTGCTGAGGTCGTTATCCGATACATCTAGATTCACTGCGACATGGATATGGCATCACGCATTAGCAGACGGCACCTCGGCCCTTTTGTTCCACGGGTCTTTTCTTGCAGGTCTGAATTCTGTTCAAAAGACAAACAACGTGGATCCGGCCGTTAAAACGCTTGACCAAGCCCTGCTATCGCCATTTGAGGAACTACACCCCATGCCAATATCATGGTATTTCTTCAGCAAGACCATTCTGAACACTCTACTGGCTCCTGTTTACGCCATCGCCTCCGAAAAATTGTGGACTGGCAATCCGGTCCCAGAAGATGTCACAGTACTTCCAAAACCACGATTCCTCACAGTTGTACTATCCAGGGCGACTACAAGCAAACTAGTTCAGACGTGTCGGGAAGAGAAGACAAGCGTGACAGCGACCTTGCAATGTCTTCTAGCAGCCTCACTCTTCGCCAATCTCCCAGCTGAAGAATGCAAGAGATTGAGAATTGATGGCCCGATATCAGCGAGAAGATTTCTCAACATTGGAGAGAAGCAGATGACGTCTGCAATCACGCAATACGAATTCTTCCACGATCGACCTACTTCGTCCGACGGTCCCTCAACCGATATCCTCCAAAACTTCTCCTGGGAAACATCCAGAGCGGTCAAATCCATCATTGCTGCCGAAGTAGCAAAATCCGGAACTGACAATCCAGTTGCGCTTCTCAAATACGTTTCCTCCATGCCGCAGTTTCTTATGGGCATGCTGGGAAAGCCGCGCAAACCCACTGCGGAGTTGTCCAATGTGGGGGTTTGGCCGAACAAGAAAGATGAGAAGAGTATGTGGAGTGTTGGTAGGATGGTTTTCAGTCAGTCTCCTAATATGGTGGCGAGCGCGTTTGCACTTAGTGTTGTGACTGGTGGTGATGGAAATGCAACGCTCAATTTTTCTTGGCCAGAGGGCGCTGTGCACGATGAGCTTATCCGAGGAGTGGCCAATTATTTGAGGAAGTGGGTGGAGAGGTTGCTGTAGAATCCTTCTCTTCTGGAACCTTTTTCCTTTTAAATCGTTCGATTCCTCTGCTCACAAACTTGGATTTCCATATCCGCTTTGGCAAGCCCAGCAACCGCAATGCGTTGTGTCGCAGCACGGGCACGCCCATGCCGTATTCGACGACGAGCCACATGAATAGCAGGGCAATAGCGTTAGATACAAGAACTGTGGTAGCTGTTTTTGTCAGTTTATTGTGGAACAACGTGCGGAGAGTACTTACCAGCCCATTTTCCAATATAGTTTGTTGTGTAAACTCGAGTCCGGTTGGTAAAGTCGGCTTCGTTCTCGCGGTCGGGTATGAAGAAATCAACCTGGTTTCTCTGGAACCGATCAATTGACAGAGCGAACAAGCTAGTGAGGAAAGACAAGGGCGTAAAGATGATGGTTATGACTGTGAAGCCGAGAACGGCTGCACTGATGACGGCCGTTGCATGGGATTCTTGAAGACTTGCATGTTTCTGCTTCAGGTCCAGTTTAGCCATGATGGATTTCTCCATACGGGCGGCGTCTTCGTCTAGTTGCGCGATTCGACGTCGAAATCGATCGAACTGAGATTGCGTGCGTAAAATAAGTTGCCATTCATCCTCTTCTTGAGTAGATCTCTTTTCGTCGTCTTTCACGACCATGTGTCCTTCTGGACCACTTGTCCAGTGTTCGGGCCAGGCATTGCTTGCAAAAGTTTTCCAGACCTCCTCCTGCTGCAGAATGACGCGTTTGATCATCTCCAATTCTCCTCGTATATCATCAATGTCGTGTAGAAATTTTCTTTCCTTGTCAATGTCAAACTTCTTCACATCCTCCCCTCTGCTGTACTCATCCACACCATGAGCACATGAGGCAATAAAATTCTCGAAAGTGTTGAGGATGGGATTGCCTGAGCCTGTTTCAGACGGACGGTTAAGACTGTCCACGAAATGAGACAGCATGATGCCGATATACCGCTTAACATCACCTGCCAGGCAGTCATGTCCCCACGAGGGAAAGTCGGGCTCGGAGCTGTTAGTACTTGATTCTCTCTCCGGTTCGTGTGCAGTTATGAGCCCATCTGTGCATTGCAGAATCCACAGTTGACACACGGTAACAAGCTCCTTAGGATATGAGTCTGTATTTTCGGCTTTAGTAAGTACTTGGTCTCCGTTCCTACGATCCAACATTGACTTTGGCAGCGCAGGACAACAGTACTCGTCGAGAGTTAGTGGTACATAGGGTGCTTTGAGAGATTCCAGTGACTTGCTATAGTGGTCTGTTAAAAAAGGCTTTAGGCTTTCATTCACCAACTCCGGTTTCCTCCATTTTGAGATTGAATCTTCTGTGAGTACCTTGAAGTACGGCATCTGCCCAGATTAGCATCCCAGCTGAAGGCAATTAGAATGTTCGTACCGCAATTGTGAAAGATTTGGAGCCTCCGCCATGGGTCACAGTACAGGAGGGCTCTCGATGCTTCAGGACCGCAGGTCCATGATTATCTGGATCCCTTATGTACTGTTCATACTGAAAACCTTCCATGAATCTATCCATATCCTTAATTTTGATACGATCCTCGATCAAAAGTTTTCCGAACAATGCCTGTATTCGTCAATATAGTTCCAGTATCATTATTTTCTTAATCGGTAGCTTTACATATATTCCTCTAAACTATTCGTCATTAGTGATTGATGGTACGAAAATATTGTGCTTGCTTACATAGTTCAAAGGAAAGAAATGACAGAGTGCTCCAGGAAAGTGATATACTTTCCAATCGAATCGATAGCCAGGCCAGGCACGACTGTGATCCTGGAAGATAAGTACACTAGCTGCTTCTAGATTGATGGGAAACCTTTGGACCGTTTCACTGTTTTTGGGTCTCCCCTCACTGTCGTATAGGAGCTCTGGGTCTATATAAGGGTACTTTCCCGATGTGACCCTCCTCCTGGATACTCTAGGCTGTTCCTGAACTATATCTTTTAGCAGGGGACTTGCTAAACTCAAATAGAACAACTGACTGTTTCCTTTGCATGCGAGATCCCACACATACATGCCTTGGATGTCGGGGATCATGCTGACGGGCGCACGCACCAAACCGAGAAGGTAACCAAGTTCCCTTCCACAATTTCTCTTTGCGACCAGATGGAGGCATGTAGATCCCGAAGCCAAATCGTGATGTATGATCTCGTCTATACCCGTTGGATCTTTCTTGAACAGCCATATCATCGTCTCATATTTCTTTTCTATGCAAGCGATATGTGCGGCCAAAAGGCCTCGATGGTCTCTGACAATGATATCTGCACCTGCTTCAAAGAGGATATCAAGCATTGCATAATCGCCCATTGCAGCTACATGGTGAAGAGCCGTTTTTCCTTCATGATCTGGGATATTCACATACTTTTTCACCGTCCGTGGCCCACCATGGCCAGCAGCAAATCCAGTTAGAAACCCTACTGTGTAGCAAAAGTTTGTCCCTTCTCCTTGAACAGCTCGATGAAGCAACGTAGTGCGGCTTGTGAAGTCGGTAAAGTCCTCCTGGCGACATTGTTTGAGCAAGAACTCCACGATTTGTACATCTCCTTTGCTACAGGCGCGGTACACTGGCCCTAGCGACAGAAAAGACCAGTTTTGACCGTTACTTGACTCTGGAATACCAAGAATAATTTTCTGAACTTCAGGTAAATCTCCCTCTTCGACAGCTTTGAGAAGACTTTTGTTGATCGCTTCAACGTCCATGGTACAAATTGTGAAGGCTCGATACGGGAAGGGCTTGGGATTCAGTTGCAGCCGGTGCAGGGACCTGGGGATTTAAAGTGTTTAGTATTGGGGCCTGTCAATATTGCAGCCGCAGCTTTGATACCCAAACGGTCGAGTGGATGATTGGACGCCTCTTCACCTAATCCAGATAAGAGTGAAGCCACAGCTCACCACGCGCCCTGAAAGAAGCAAGGCTAGGAAACCCAGCCTCAGTGTTTGGAATTTTCACCCATTAGATGCATCAAAAACCTAGTGCTCGAATGGGAGAATCTATACACACGTTCATACAATCGAGATTACGGACAAATGAAAGCGATCATTGAAAGACTATCTTCAGACTTCAAAGGTTGAGTCTTTGACACATATTCTGCGATGAAAAATATCCCGATGACTCGAAAATGTGGGTGAGCTGAAAACGTAACGATCGAGATTCATGCAGGCTGCAGCCATGGCTGATTTAAAGTTTGCCTACAACGCACTATGATTGGTAGCATTGACAGCAGACACACTCCGCACTTGTGAGCTGAACACATATGGGAGAAAGTGGCGGTATCGTGTGATTCTGTGATCGGGCTATTCATTGGTTGATATATATTCACTGTGCAAGTATAGAGACGGTAACAAAGAAGGCGTCCAAAACTCTCGGGCTGAAATACCATACTGTAATAGCATCAGGTAGGCTCTATGTTGTCTGCTTAACTGTCAAATGATTCTCTGTGGATGTCAGAATGGCCAAAGAGACTCCAGGGACCTAATTAGAAGGACTGCTAACCGGGGCGATTGAAATTGGCTGCGAAGGAACTAGAGCTGCAGCTAGGAGGATAATGCCCGCCGATATCAATTTCTGGAGCATATCCACATAAAGTGGCTTGACCCAAGGCAACTATTCCGCAGGTTTTGCTCCGTTGCTGTTCACTACCTCCATTTCCAGTTGCGAGCAGCTGTCGGATGCTGGTGGGTCCTGTGGATTGCAAGCGACGCGTGTCGATTGGTGCCGCTCGTCAGCCACACCATCGGATCACCATCAGGGCGACGATGGGACGGCAGACGCCAAACAACTGTCGCCCGACAGTATGAGCTCTTATTCAATTACCAACTGCATTCGCCGGTGGCTGTCGACCGTGTCGTGGTCGACAGTGTCTGACCTAGATCTCTCTAAATTTTTGAATACCATCCTATGCGACAGCCGTCGACCTCCTATGAAGTTTAGCCCCTTTCGCCTAGCCAAAACATCAATGTTACGGGGACCCTGTGTCACCTGTATGCAATCAATATCTGAATCAAGTCTTGGAATTTCATCAATGCAAATTCTGTTTTTGGGCATTGTTTCGAGCTCATAGATTCTCACTGCGATATATGACTATACTTCTTTTCCAACACAATCCAGCAGCTTCGCTAAAGTGTTCTCCCAAAAATGACGTTATTCCACATCAACAGATACTCTAATCTTGACGCGCAGGGTCAAGCTTAATGTGCCCAACAATCTCGTTGATCTTCTCCATCACTTCTGGCGTAAGCTTATCAATGACCTTCAAAGCCGCGCAGTTGTCAATGACTTGCTCGGGCCTCGAGGCACCTGTAATAACTGCAGAAACGTTCGGGTTCTTCAAGCACCAAGCGAGCGATAGCTGGGATTGGCTAACACCCAGACTGTCGGCAACCGGCTGTGGGAACGTCAGCAATGAAACTCAGCGAAGGATGGCAGTTGTAAGACAAACCTTGAGAGCCTTGGCGCTGTTGATCATATTGCTCCACTCGCTGTTTCCATAGCTATCCCGCATTCCACTAACGAACTTATCATTGCCCTCTGCAAATCTTGAGCCTGCTGGAGGCGCATCTGGGCTGTCGTTGTACTTTCCGCTCAAGAGGCCAAACTTCAGGGGGGAAAAGGTAGTCAGACCAAGTCCGAAGCGCGAGTATAGGCGTTGGAATTCGCTCTCGACCTTCTTCCTCTCAAGCAAATTGTACTGTGGTTGTTCGACGACTGGTGCAATGAGACCCAGCTGTTTCGCAATACCGCAAGCCTCAGCAATCTCGTCTGCAGACCATTCGGATGTGCCCCAGTACAAGGCCCAGCCCTTTTGCTCAATCACGTGGTTGAAGGCGCGGACGGTCTCTTCCATGGGCGTAAGGCGATCGGGACGATGCGCATACACGATATCAACGTACTCGAGGTCCATACGCTTAAGCGATGCACGAAGTCCCTCAATGATGTGCTTACGAGAAAGACCATGGTTGTTTACGAGGACTTCTCCATTTGCGCCGCCCCAGTTGAGCTTGGTGGAAATTACAAGATCGTTACGGTTCCAGCCAAACTTCTTGATGGCCTGGCCCATGATGATCTCAGATTGGCCTCCAGCATACGATTCCGCAGTGTCGAAAAAGTTGATGCCGTTATCATATGCGGTCTTCATGATGGAGAATGTGCGTTCTGATGCTGGAATTAGTCATGTGATCAATTGACATAAGCACAGGGTCAAAAACCATTTTCGACATGACCACCAAATCTATAAATCGGTTAGCATTGGCATATGTGCAAAAACCACAGGACAACATACGTGAGCCATCCTCCTAGACCGAGTACTGAGACGTGCAGCCCGGAGTTACCCAGGCGACGGTATTGCATACCGGTCTTACGAGGTTCTTCCCACGCCATCTTGTAATTGTTGAAAAGGCACGTGTAATGACTGAATAAAGTTCGACTTGAGTTTGAAAAGGATGCAAAACTTCACAAGTAACAAGCCGTTGTGTGTAACCACTCCACTCTAGCGATGAGTCGACTGAACGGTGAAAAGCTGTGCCACCTTTACCAAAATGGGACAACCCGCTCGCGACAGCCAAAAGTGTCAGGAGGCTTTCTGCATCGGAGACGCTATCTTCTTTGGGAGATCGCGGCGCTACTCAATGTTGTTGAATTTTTTCGAAGTCCAGACGACAACGGCACGTGTAGTGATATTTCGCCATCCATCCCCGCAATAACGCCATGATGCTAAGTGGAGTACGATTGGAGAAGTGGGTCAGACTAACAGTCTCCATTAAGATAACCTTTCAGTGTTACCAGATGTTGACCAAGATCTAATCGGTTATCAACTATCTTGAGATTTGGGATACCAGATTGCAATACAAAACGTAACCTGATATATTCTGTCAGCATGAATGGGAAACTGATGCCAAATTTTAAGATAAAAATTAATGGAAGGCGGTTGTGTCAAGGCGTCCCATACTCGAATTCGAATATCGACCTGCGGCTACGTACACCCGCGATTCGCAAAAACCTCGGTTCGGCTGACGAGCACGTTGCGGCTCCATTGGCGACCCCATCGCCAAGTTACAGAATCCAAGCTATGTGCCGTGTCGCCCAGTACCCCCGCACACGTAAGCAGTAACCCTTCCTCGACATGGCCCGGTCAACCTTCTTGATCCGGACTACAGTGTGAATCTGAAGTCCAACCGCTTGTTTCCATCAAGCTCGCGTGCGGCAAGATCCGCCTGGTACAGCGCCTTCTCTTCGCTAGTCATTTGTTCCCACTTTTTCTGCTTGTTCTTGTTCATACGCGTCAACGCCATTCTTTGCACGAGGAATGTCACCACGCTCAGCGCGCAAATGGCTACCAACACTGAGTTTCCTTGCTTGTAGTACGGGCCATCGTACTTGCGGTAAATCTGCGAGCTAATCAGAGATCCAATCTGCACAATGACGTTGTATGTTGCAGCGGTAATTGCGCGCTTTTTGACGTCAAATGTGTTTTCCGATATCCAGGACGAGACTAAGGGATGGAAGTATGGATATCCGGAGATCAGTGTGATCAATGAAAAGCGGCCCCACTCGCGTCCACCGTCCGGAAGCGTCAAAAGGGCAATGAGCAGTGGCATAATCCAGAATTCGCCAAATATGCAATGGAATGTGCGTTCGTTGAAATATTCGCTCGAGTATGCGAGTGCCAACATGGTAATGACTTGGAGCGCAGCAGATGGGATCGTAAGCATGTTACTGTCGAATCTGCTAAAACCGAGACGTTTGAGCGTAAGTGTCAGATATCCTTGAACGGGCGAGGCGGGAATGTAGGCGATGAGACCGATGAAGTACAGACCCCACATGGAAGAATCAGACCAGGCCGCGCGGATATCCTTGAAAGTGGCGGGTTCCTTGAGGGCTGTGAGACCCTTGGCCGGATCGTCTCTGAGAATGCGGTTCACCATGATGACTTCCTCTCGCTCGTTGTACCAGCCCTTGGGGAAAAGTACGTTTTTCGTAGATGTGGGCGCAGCTGGCAAGTACAGGAATGATAATCCAGCAATAACGACGGTCAAAAGTCCTTCGAGGAGGAATAACCAAAACCATCCCGGCTTTCCTGCAACGCCGCGCATTTCCAGAATTCCGGCGGCAAGCAGAGCGGAAGCGACACGGGCGACGTTGAGAGTGGACCAGAAAGCCGCAAGGCGTATGGAAAGCTCTTTTGACGTGTAGAAGTAGGTCGCAAACAAGATAACTCCAGGAATAAAGCCACCTTCACACAGACCAATGGCCGCGCGGCCAAGGTAGAATGAAGTACGGTCGTGCATCCATGACTGAGCCCAAGAAGCGGTTCCCCAGGCCATCATCATGGTCGGAAGGACGTATTTGAAGCCATATCGCTTGGTGAGGCTAACAGAGAATCAATCAGACAGATATCAAAATGCAGTCTCCCGAATACTCACAATTGCACTGGGAATTCCGCACAAAGGAAACAAAGCAGTTGAATGGTTGTACCGTTGTTGTAATCATCGCTGGTTAAGCCGAGATCTTCCAGGAGGTTATCTGCAAGCGCGTTTGATACGTTTCCGCGATCGAGCTACACCGATCAGTATCCACGCTCCGGTTCAACCCCACAAAAACTTACCTGCAGCCCAAACATCATGAGACATAGCCATGAGAGTAGCCGAATATCCGTTTTGCGTACAAGTCGGCGTTCTTCCTCAATGGTCCAGCTTGCATGGGGATCGAAACGGTGTCGGCCCTCGTAACTTTCATGAGGAGGAACAATATCCGCGAGCTCCTCTCTTCCAACCTTTGGCAGCGATTTGATCGAGTTGGCATCTTCGCTAATCCGCGTCGTATGCGGGGCCGCAGCCTCAATATCTTGACCCATTTCGAGAGGACCGCAGTGTTCAACCGCAACACAACGCTCAATTGGAAGAAGAGTGGGCCCTGGAACGGGAAATGGATGCACTAATACATGTATTGCTCACGCCCATCCCCTATATATGTAGTCCTCGTTGCTATTGCGCAATTCAAGCCCATCTCGTCGCCATTACGACTTGTCTCCCGAGGCAGCAATTGCGCCGACAAAGGAGGAGAAAGAGGGGAGCGCACGGCTTTGGGCACGTGCATGCACTTCTCATTGGTCTTTCGCCAAAACCCCGGCATTACCCTCAAAGGTAGTGCAACTCGCCCGCAGCCATGGCTGTCGGCTCTAGTCCCATAACATGCAGCGTACCCGATGACGTGCTACACCACGTGTACTGCAGATGGGCTATCCTGGATCTCGGGTGAGATTGATATATCCTAGACTTCCAAGCGAGCAGTGCTGAAGTCTATATTGTACATCCTGTCCGGAGCAGTTTCCAGTTTGAAAGCCTTGTGTCCAGCATTCTATCCTGCTTGTCAACCGAATCCATTGTCCTTCTAGCCGCCCAGGATGCCTTCTGTAGAGCGCGTCAATGCCGAGGATGAATACACCGCCGGTGGCACACGCATCTTTGGCGGGAACGCCACCGCCAGGTCGAGACTGTTGGAACCCTTGGTGTACTCTGGATCATTGGAAAATTACAAGTACCAAGATTTGACGCCGGTCATTGGTCGAGAGTTTGAAGGCCTCCAAGTGACCGACTTGCTTCAGGCAAGCGATGCTGTGATCAAGGACCTAGCCGTCACTGGTCAGTCATTGCACATGGACTATACTGAAGCAGTAGTTGACTTGATGTCACAGTCTCTCAGCGCGGAGTTGTTTTCTTGCGCAATCAAGATGTCACTCCTAACCAGATGCGAGACCTTATGTTGCGATTGACTGAACTCTCAGGATGTGTATGTCTCAAAATATCAGCGTCACTACATCAGCAAGGCTAATACTTCAATAGCCCTCATCATCAGGCCTCCACGTCCACCCCCTCACAGAAGAAGGCTCTGAACTAGGCGACCAAATCTCCGTCATCAGCAGTGAAAAGCAAAAGAAGGGCGGCGGCCTCACCCACCAACTTTCAGACGTAAGCCGCTTCGCATCAGCAGGATGGCACAGCGACATCACCTTCGAGCCCGTACCATCCGACTACGCCATGCTCAAGATCCACACTCTCCCCGCCACAGGCGGTGACACCCTCTGGGCCTCTGGCTACGAAATCTACGACCGCCTCTCCCCCGCCATGCGCACATTCCTCGAAGGCCTCACCGCAACCCACGACGCAAAGTTCTTCCTCGACGAGGCAGAGAGACTAGGTAATCCGCTTCGAAAGGGCGTCCGTGGTAACCCGCTCAACCAAGGTGATGCACTTACAGCTATCCACCCCGTCATTCGTACAAACCGTAAGTCTCACTTCTATCTCAGGTCGATATTTTCACACATGCTAACGCCAATACACAGCGGTAACCGGCTGGAAATCTGTCTACGTAAACAAAGGCTTCACCAAACGCATCAACGGCATCACAAAAGACGAATCCGACCTCCTCCTCCCTTACCTCTTCAACCTCGTCACGCAAAATCACGATGTCCAGGTGCGCTTCAAGTGGAACAAGAACGACCTTGCTATCTGGGATAATAGGAGTACCTGGCACTGTGCTACGTACGACTATGTCGAGGCGAGGGCGGGAGACCGTGTGGCGAGTTTGGGCGAGGCGCCGTATTTGGATTTGGGGAGTCGTGGACGGAGGGAGGCGCTAGAGGGGAAGTAGATGGGAAGAGAGTAAGAGAGAAAAAGGCTAGATGCTAGATAAAGGTCGATATGCATATAAACTCTGTAGATGAAAAAAAAACATCAAGCGGCATGCAAGAGAAATTGAAGTCTAATCTCACTACTAGTTTGTGCAACCTCAGGCAGGGCATTGGCGGCACTAGTAGTCTGATTGCACGATATCCATGTCAACCAAGACTTTCTGAGTCAGACATGACAAGCATCAAACGTTAACAGCACGACACATTACACCAAAGTAGACATATGCTTCACAGTTATCACATTGCATCACGATCACAAAGAGGACTCAAGACAAGTTCAGTGTACAATCTTCATTTCATGTTCCGCTCATCATCGACCGTAACTGGATATCATCAAGGCGCAACAAAACAACCCAAAAAAAACACAAAAGGTGAACATCCCTCAAGCCTACTGGAGACCCTTGAGGATTTCATCTGCCGCCTTCTCAGCAACCATGTATGTGGAGAGCGCAGTGAAGGTACCAGGAATCTTGGGGAAAACACTGGCATCTACGACCCTCAGGCCGGCAACGCCGCGGACGTTGAACTTGGAGTCAAGCACAGCCATCTTGTCGTTGTCGGCGCCAATTGGGCAGGTGGAAGAGGCATGGTGGCCCCAAGCGGTGTCCTTGGCGTACTGTGCAATCTTCTCGGGGGTGTTGACATCAGAGCCGGGGAGGACTTCTTTGACTGGGACGAGCTGGCGGCGGAAAGAGTCACGGGCGAGGTTGACGGCTTCGGTGAGGGCAGTGAGATCCTTTTGGTAGTCGCCTACGCCAGTGTCGAAGTAGTTGTAGGTGATATCGGGCATGTCGAGGGGATCGGCGGAGCGAAGGGTAACGGTTCCGGCGTTGTTGCGTGGGTGCGCCTTGAGGATGGCCCAGGTGAACCAGTCGTGCTCGCTGGTAGCGTTGAAGGCGTAGCCGGGGAAGTAACCGCGGAAGTTGACGGGGCCGCCAAAGGCGAAGATGTCGTAGTCGTTGTTATCAGCGGTGCTCGACTGGTAGAGCATAGTGGCGCCAAGTCCGGGGGAAGCGTAGATGCCGCGGTTGCCTAGGATGGGGGAATTCCAGCGGTCAATACATTTGTCGGCGGAGCTGCCGTCAAAAGTGCAGCCTTCGAGCGCCGAGAAGTTGGAGCTGACCTTGCCCTGGACGTTGATCTCGTAGTGGTCCTGGAGGTTGGTACCTACACCAGGGCGGTCGGCGATGACGGGGATGTTGAATTTCTTCAGTTCCTCGGCAGGTCCGACACCACTGAGCTTGAGGAGCTGGGGAGAGTTGTAGGTTCCACCGGCGAGGATGACTTCGCGAGAGGCCTTTGCAGATCCGGGGACTCCAGTTGCGCCAGAGGACTTGGGGCTGGCCTTGTAGAGGTACTGGCCGTCGAGGAACTCAACACCAGTAGCGCGGGGAGGGGAGACGTCTTGGTCGAAAACAACCTTTGTGACGTGGCAGTTCAGTCTGACATCGAGAGGGTACATCTTGGTGCCGTTTGCATTCTTAGCATCGCGAACGGCCAGGACGAATTCACGGGATCCAGTGCGCTTGCCACCATTGGTGGAGATGGGGATCTGGTAAAGACCGGGGCCAGCATCGCGTTCCTTGGAGTCAGCGTTGGCGTCACCAGCAATGAGAGTGGCAAGGTTGACAATAGCGTTGGTGGCATTGCCAAGGGCAAAAGCAGCACCACCAACCAGGCTGAGGAGCTTAGGGTCGCTGGTGACAATGTCAATGGGTGCGTATTCGGTGTTGAGCCAGCCCTTGTAACCATGAGCTCCCGTGCCAGGAATAAGGTACTGGTTCTTCTCCAACTTCTCGAAGTACTTGCGCATGTTAGAAGGCGCCCAAGAGTCATCTCCAGTGAGCTCCTGGATGTTCTCAAAGTCAGACTGGTGGGGGTAGACGGCGATGAGAGCGTTGTGAGCTGTGCACCCTCCGAGGGTACCAGTACGGGGGTATAGAGTACCCTTCATGGTGGAGCCTTCGGGTGGGCTAAGACCAGTGTATTCGCCGCCGTCGAGAGTTGCATAACTGGTCTTGTAGTCGCGAGCCTGCCTCGTCTCATCGGCGTAGTGCTTGACGTAAAAGTTCCAGCTGAGGTTGGGGTCCTCGGAAGACCTAGCACTGAAGGCTGGCACAGTGTAGTTGGCGTTGGCACCCTGATCGTCACCAGCCTCAATGAGAAGAGTCTTGTGGCCAGCAAGGGCTAGGCGGGCAGCCAATGGCTACAATAAGTCAGTGACCGTGTTATCTAAGCTCATGTGTTTTACTTACGCCACCACCGGCACCCGAACCAACCACAACGTATTCATAGCCGGTCAGATCGACAGCCTTGGCGAGCGAGATGAAGGCTGCGAAAGAGCCAAGAACACGTGGGAAGAGCATCGTGATTAGGTATTATTAGTTGCCGAGGCGTAGTTTTCAAAAGAATGACAGAGGCTGGGAGAGTTGCCTGCTTGCTTTTGCAAGATGGAGTATTGCAAGACTTTATATCATCTGAATCGTGTCAAGGGCGTCATTCGAGTGCCCCCTTATTGACGCGGCAGAGGCAATGAATGCAGTAGGCGGAAAGGAAAATTATTGGTCGCATATTCGTACCGTCCCAGCGGTGCTCAATAGTCGCGGTTTTTGGTCTCTTCTAGGCCAGCAAGACAATGCCTACAAAGAAGGGCTGTATGTAGATCATGCGGGTACTGGTAGGGATCACTGTGGGTCGCAATTTACGGTTCGCAAGGGGAGCATTTCGTCCGAACTACGCCACCCACCGCTTGCGATACCCGAGGGATTCAATGTGCAGTGAAGGCTTCCAATGGCATGGGAAGTGCTCCACCACAAGAGCCAAGCGCTGCGCGGTGCAAGCACTTTGAGATTCCTTTACACAGTAGCAACTACACAAAAGCTGTATCCTCTCGACAATGCTGCTAGCTTACAATACGAGACAGTGAACATGTGCTCCCCGCGACAAGAACACACCTTCCCTTTTGTGCTTGTCGCCGATACTGCGCCCCTGGTTCACGAATGACATTTTCCCTGTAAGGAACATGGCCTTATTCTCGGTCATTTCCCGACTACCGGACGTCCCCCCCGAAGCGGGAGGAACTTGTGGAGTAACGGTTCAAGGATAACGGACACTAAGACCAAAGTCAGGTTAGCTGCAACGTGCACTGTAGACTCTCTGGACCTATGCTTGATAATGAACTGAGTATGAGCACCAGTACACCACGTGGCTATGCGAGTTGCCGATTTCAGGCCCCGCAATGATGATGATATTCGTTGTAAGCGACATTGACAAAATGGTTGAACAGGCGTCGTCGTCTTCATCTTCGTCTTCATCTTCGTCTTCTTTTTGTCCCTCTCCTTCTTTGCCACACAATGCACCAACCTGACTCGCTTGCCGCCACCCAAATCGATAGAACTACCCATACAAACGCCATGTTGAACTCGGCATTCGGTTCGAATTCACTACTCCTGCACTGCTTCCCCTAACGGCATGTGTCAAGACCCCCACAGAAGTGTCTTAGACTCCTCTTTTTCCCTTCCTTAGCGCTTAAGGCTCCCCGGGCCACACGGCATCCGCGATGCTCCTGACAAGCTGCAATTTCTTCCTCATGTCTTCATAACCCAATGCATTACCTTCAGCGTGTGATGCAAAACCACATTGCGGGCTAACGCAGCATTGTTTAAGCGCGTCCTCGCGTGACTGGCCAGTGCCCTTTGCGATCCAATCCGCAGCCTGATTGACTCTGGCAATCATCTCGTCCTTGTCTTCAAGCTTAGGGAACTTGGAGGTGATGACGCCTAGGACGACATTCTTGCCTTTTGGAAGGTGCTCTAGCGGCTCAAAACCTCCGGCGCGAGGTGTGTCGTATTCAAGATAGTAAGTGTCAACGTCGAGATCCTGCCTCGGTTAGTATACCCGTGCCATGGATTGTGGGTACTGCAGTACCTGGAATAGCTTCTTTGCGATAAGATCGTATGCGCCTTCACTGAAATGTCGGCTTCCGACGTAGTTGCCACGGCACAAGTGGATGCCGAGATGCATGTCCGCGGGCCGCTCGAAGCACTTATTGTAGAACTTCACATACGAGTCAAACATCTCGTCGGCCGTCTTGCTGTTTGTCTTGTCTGCTTTCCAGCCTGCCAACATGTCTTCAGAGCAAAAATAGGCAAGATTGGGGTCGTCAATCTGGATATTCCTGATTCCCTGCGAGTGAAGGATCTTGAGCTCTTCTTGATACGCTTTGGCAACATCGTCAAAATACTCCTCGTCATTCGCGTACACCTCTTTCGGGTAGGCTGAGCCATTCATGTAACGGAAATGGTACCAGGATGGTGAGATGAGCGTGATTTTGATGTTCTTCCATTCGCTTTCTGGAAGCAGGCTCTTCATCAGATCAACTTCTCGTTGGTTGCTGGATTTTCCAGGGTGTCTAATCTTGTCGACGCAGACAGTGACGTGGTTGGGTACTTCCTTTGCTTCCATAAACGACTTGACGTCCGGTGCATAAGCGCGAAACATATCCTTGTTGTAGCCCTTGAGGACGCCAAGCTGTAGCTCTTTCATGCCGTGAAGTGTTTCAAAAAAGGTACCCCAGAACATATGCCTGGCTCTAAAGTTAGGCCAGGTCTAGACTGACATTATGCAGAGCTACTGACCTGGTGTACTCGCCGCTCGAGACGACCTTGAGCCCGCAATCCTGCTGGAATTTTACCACCTCTGCAACAGACTTGTCCTCCAGAGGCACAAGCTCGTCCGGCTTAGCTTTGCCCGATGCGACATCGTACCGTTTTTGCACAAGCTCCTGGGGACGGAGCAATGAGCCGACGTGCTCGGCGCGGAAAGGTGGGCTTCTCTTGAGGGATGTCATGTTCAGTCTGATAGCGTAGGTATAGAAGAGAGCAAGAGATGAGAAGGCAGCAGGTGCCTGGCGAAAAAATGGCCCCTCATCTTGTCGGCTTGCCCCGCATGGGGGACCTGCATTCAACGCTCATCGAGAATTACTGGACCCCGTGGCAGCGCAAGCATACCCGATTTAGCGTTGGCGAAACGAGGCTAAGTCTCACCTAGCACAGTGAATGCCGTTCGGATTGGAAGGGCGAGATGAAGTGGCGGGCGGGGGAGGGGGCTATGTGGGAGGTATCTCAAGTTGCAGGTGGGGCCTTTTGCCGATATGATGAGGAAGGCATGGCCCGGAGTTAACGATGGTCCGTACGGGCAGTGTGCCTTCGACCGCCGTCTGACGTTCCACACAATGAGCCTGGATACGCTTATACATACTTACACGCCCACTCAATCAGCCTGACAGAAACTCTACACCGGTCCGGTCCCAACACTGACTGCAAACAAAGCTTGTATCCGGCTCCCGGACTCAACGTCTGATTTGTTGGCACACGACGTCTGCTCCGGAGCACGTACTCACAAGGGCAATCATAACCACTCTACAATGAAAATCTGGCTGTGCTGCGGAGTCTACTGGGAAGTCCACAGTCCGTCTGGGAAGCCCAAACGGCGTGAAGCTACCAACCAGCAGTTGTTCGCAGTACCTCGGGAGGGTGACACGAAGACGCAGTATGCCCCACCAAAGGTGTCGCATCGCTGATGACGCAATAGCACCACGATCACTCAGACTGACAGCATGACTTTATCAGCCGTGACGCTGCCATTGCAGCCGGTGAGGGGACTAGGCCTGCTATGTAATCGCGACACTCGGTACAATACTGCCCCACGCTAGCTGGGGTATAAGAGCTACATAATACATAGATACACATGTTGCCACGACACTCGACCTATGGATTAGCATCTGGACGCCTACTGACCCAACCGTACCAATTCCCTCTATATCATCGAAATGACGCGAGTTCTATTGACCGGAGGCAGCGGTTTCATTGCCGCGCACACTCTTGATGTCTTGTTGGACCACGGCCACAGCGTTGTGACCACTGTGCGCACGCAAGACAAGGCAGATAAGATCAAAGAGTCGTACAAGAGCCATGTTGAAAAGGGCCAGCTGGACTTTGCCATTGTCCCAGATATCGCACAGCCAGATGCTTTTGACCTGGCCGTTGTTTCAGACCCTCCATTCGAGGCTGTACTCCACACTGCCAGCCCGTTCCACTTTAATGTTACGGATGTCCAGAAAGTGAGTGCATACTACCGCCCTTGGCTGGTGTTGGAGAACTCGCTAACAAGACAGGACTTACTCGACCCCGCCGTCATTGGAACCACGGGCATCTTGAAGTCCATCAAGAAGAATGCGCCAACCGTAAAGCAAGTCGTCATCACATCGTCTTTTGCCGCTATTGTGAATCCATCCAAGGGCTTTTGGCCAGGACACGAATACTCAGAGGAAGACTGGAATCCCATGACGCTAGAAGATGCACTCAAAGATGCAGTCGCAGGATACCGAGCAAGTAAGACCTTTGCAGAGAAGGCAGCCTGGGAATTTGTAGAAAAGGAGAAGCCAAACTTCACCCTCTCTACGATCAACCCGCCAATGGTGTACGGCCCAATCGTAAGTCCCAGAAAACTCCGTTGTTCACATGACATCGTTAACAATGATCAAGGTACACCCTCTTGAGAGCCTCGACAACATGAACACATCCAACCAGCGCATTCTCGCCGCCGTCCAAGGCAAGTTTAAGGACGAAATTCCCATTTCCGGCGTGCACTTTTGGGTAGACGTACGTGATGTTGCAGAGGCACACGTGGCCGCGATGGAGAAGACTGAGGCGGCCAACAAGCGCTTCTTTGTCATAGCTGGATACTTTTCCAACAAGGAAATGTGCCAGATCATCAAGAAGAACTTCCCAGAGTTCAAGGACTTGCCCAGCGACTCAACGCCTGGCGGCGACTACCCAGAAGGTACCCCCGACAAGGGATTGTATAAATTCAACAACAAGCGGTCCATTGACGTCCTTGGCTTGAAGTACAAGACCTTTGAGCAATCTATAGTCGATACTATCAAGTCATTCCAGAAGAAGGGGTTGTAGATTAGGAATATTGCTTGGAAGGTCATGTGGGAGCTGTTGAAAGCATCTTCGATTGGCTACGTGAACTATCTACGTTGCGCATCTGCATGAGCGCGTCGGCGTTGGTTGTATGTATCCCAAACTAGACAATGGCATGTTAGTACACCATTCGACTTAATAATGAACAATGTGAGTTTTGAATGAGCAAATCAGCCTGTTGAGCTTGATCTTGTTTTTAGACTTCACCGTCGTTGACTCGGAAGTTATCGTTTGATGATGATCATCATAATGCAAAGTTGTAAGGAAAATCTGAGAGAGCTTACCTGTGAGTTATCTCGCTGCATCACTACCCACGTTGTCCCGCTTGAAGGACGACGTTCTCGGGCGTTGACCAGCGATGAAGGGAGGAGGGAACGCGATGCAGAGCTTCGAAGAAAATAGAAGGCCCGGCGAAACGTCGGGCCGACGGCTTCCAAGATTAGGCAGGGCTTGCCCCACCACCGAAGCCCAGCGAACGCGGGCTGTGACAGCAAAAGCTCCCAACACGCCTTTGTGACATTGCCAAATCACTCCTCCGCCGCTATCGCGTACCAGAACATCTGTTGAAAACTTCATCACCCTATCGATCCGAATACCGTAGCTCTCAAAAGCTCGCAGTCATGTGTAAGTCTGCCGCTTCTACCCCGCCATCCACCCTGCCTCGATGCGCCTTTGGCACCAGGTGTCGAGTCGTTTCCTCATACAGGACAACATTGTTGCGGATAGATACCTGCTGGCTTGCGCTTGGTCACCAGCTCTCTGATGCTGTGTAGCTATGCGTTTCCGCTCTTGAGAGGGAAACAGCCAGAACGATTGAGACTGACTTTGTACAGCCGACTTCAACGCCATCGCCCGTATGTACCGCCCGTTCACTTGAGGCAGACTGAAGCCTATCGGTTTTGTCTCTTGGGCTCCTCCAGTCAGACCAGGATTGACCCTTGCGCCAGAGCAGTTTGTCCAGTTCTACTATGAAACCTTCGATAAAAACCGCGCCGGTCTCGCTTCCCTATACGTATGCGATCCGATCTAAGCGCGTGCAACGACCTCCGGCTCACAAAATTCACAGAGAGAGCCTTCCATGCTCACCTTTGAGCAGACGCCAACCCAGGGATCTGCTGCCATTGTAGAGAAACTCCAGGTAACAACAATTCTACCCGACAGGGAAAGACAAAGCTGACTCTTGCAAGAACCTGCCGTTCCAGCAGATACAACATCGCACAGATACAATTGATGCTCAGCCTTCCGCCGAAGATGGCATCATGGTTCTTGTTACGGGCGCGCTCATGGTGGGTAGATTTTATCTATAACACAAAGCTTCTACTGACTCTTGATAGATTGGGGGCGAAGAAAAGCCAATGAGCTTCACCCAGGCATTCCAGCTTAAGAACGACAATGGCAGCTGGTTTGTTCTCAACGATGTTTTCCGTCTGGTATACCCCGCTGCATAGGCAGCCAACTGCGCTCGGTGGATTGGTTCCCACTGTTGAGACTTGGGACAAAGTGTAGAGTGCTGCATAAAGTTTGAGGGTGTGGAAACAGGCGGGGGATCTCTTTGGCATCTCGGGGACTTGGCAGATGACAATGCGAATTACAAATGAAATAAAAAAACATTGCAATAGTTATAGTTACATCATTACAGGGGCATGACCGCAAGTAATTATCTTTTGTTTGTATCGGCTTGATGCACTAACATGTTCGGCGACATTGTTCTGCAGCCATCCTGTGGCCAACACTCGTCGTGACGCATCGCAGTGTTCCGAATCTCTTCGATGCGGTTCGCTGTCGCACGTGAGCCGGAAAAGACCTTTGCCGCAACTTCTCCGCGGTCACTTGCCGAAGCTCCACGCAATCCCTCGGGCCTGGGGTTAGCTTACATACTACTATAACCATGGCCTCTTCGTGCGGCAATAGTACAGCCTCTTCTACTTGGTCTGGATTCTTGTGTCGTTTTGCGTTATCATTTCCTTTATCTTGATACCCTACAATCGCCATCTCCAGCGGTTCATTACAAGTCATCTTGCCATCATGGCTTTCGTGCAAAAAGGTCTCAAGAACATTCTCCAGAAGAATCCACATGATGTCGTCTTCCTCTCTGCCCTCCGAACTCCGGTAACAAGAGCCAAGAAGGGCGGTCTGCGTGATGCATATGACCACGAACTCTTGGGAGCGGTACACCACCCTCAATTATCCTCTGTACAATGTGCCAGGAACTGACGGATAGACAGGTCCTCAAAGCCACCATCAACAAATTCCCAAACCTTGACCCAGCGAAGATAGATGACGTTTGCGTGGGCACCGTGCTCGCCGAACTTGGTGGCTCCAAAGCCGGCCGCATGGCCGCAAACCATGTTGGCATTCCTACGACAACTTCCTTCAGCACCGTAAACCGCGCCTGCGCATCAGGTCTATCTGCTATAACGTCAATCGCAAACTCCATCGCTGTTGGCCAAATCGACATTGGCATTGGAGGAGGTATGGAGAGCATGACGCGCAACTATGGCAGCAGAGCTATACCCACAGAACTCTGGCCAGAGATGAAGGACAGCCCGGTAAAGGATGCACGAGACTGCATTATGAGCATGGGCATTACATCTGAGAATGTGGCGAGTCGGTATGGCGTCACTCGCGCTGACCAAGATGCCTTCGCTGCGGAATCGCAAAACAGGGCTGCGAAGGCGCAAGCGAACGGATTGTTTGACGATGAGATCGTTCCAGTCACTACAAGGTGGATTGAGCCCGAGGTGCCGGAAAACCAAAAGCAGGTGACTGTGACCAAGGATGATGGAATTCGGCCAGGAACCACGGTGGAGAAATTGGCGACTATGAAGCCGGCATTTGACAAGAACGGTACAAGCACAGCAGGCAACAGCAGTCAAGTTTCGGATGGAGCAAGTGCAGCACTCATGATGCGCCGATCGACAGCCACGGCTCTAGGTCTGGAAAAGCAAATCATTGGAAAGTGGGCTGGGACACAGGTTGTGGGTTGCACACCGGATGAAATGGGAGTTGGACCAGCTCTTGCTATCCCCAAGCTCCTCGACTACACGGGCCTGCAGACATCAGATGTCAATGTGTGGGAGATCAACGAAGCTTTTGCGAGCCAAGCGCTGTACTGCATAAGGAAGCTGGGACTTGAGAACAAGATGGATAAGATCAATCCTAATGGAGGTGCCATTGCACTAGGTCACCCACTGGGTGCGACAAGTGGCAGGATGCTTGCCACGCTCCTACACGAGATGGGCAGAAGTGGGGAGCAGGTGGGTGTGCTGAGCAAATGTATAGGCACGGGAATGGGCATGGCCAGCTTGATTGTACGGGAGTAGGAAATGTCGATAATCAAAAATTAGATAAATGATTGGGGTATCAAACGACTATGGTTTACAACGCCTTCCTAATGCACTGGAGTGACACCCTAGGCTTTATTCTTTTTGCTCTTCTTCTTGGAGCGCTCTGCCAGAATTTCATCCAAAAAGCTCTTCGGTTTAGTTTTTACTTTCTTAGGAGCTGGTGGTGCAGGTTCTGCTTCTTCCTCTTCCACTTTTTCAGACGACTTATCCTCAACCGGAATCTCTGTGGTAAGCTCCTTTGTCTCCCGATCTTCAGTCTTCGCGCCTGCTGCTAGCCTTTTTGCTCTCGTTTCTTCATCCTCGTCGTCACTGTCCAGAGCTTTGGGCGGCTTCGTCGCCTTCCTACCCTCTCTCTTTGACTTGAAAGTAGCGGCCCTCCCATCCTCTTCATCATCGGACACCTCCTTCTTCGCAATAGCAGGTTTGCTGTATTGATGAGTTTTGGTCGCTGCACTCGGCCTCGCAGCTTCTTGTTTCGCCATGATATGAGCCTTGGCTTTTTTCTTGCCGATCAACTGCTGCAGCAGTTTGTCGTCCGACGTTAGTGTCCTCTTGGTGAAGCTGCCATTCTCGACATCCTTTGGAAGTATACCGCCAAGACCAATTCTGAACATGAATATTAGCACGCGCAGTTGCGAAAAACAGTCATGTGGAGTGTCACCTATCATGAGCGTAGTTTTGTTTGAGATCCTGATCATCCTCATCCTGAGGCGTCGCAGCACTGTCCCGCGTATCCCAGTCTGGCCGCGACCCGTAAAGCGAGGCCAAGAGCTTCTGTCCCTTTGCTTCAAGGAGACTTATCCGATTGGCGATAACATCGCCCTCGTTATTTCTCTTTGACATTTCCGGCGCGGACTTATCCAGGGGCGCTTGAGATTTTGGGGCTCAATACGACCAAGTTCCCGGCCGCGATATTTTTGAGAACCCGGTTCATTCTCGGCACGCTAGCAGACGTCCGCAACAGCCCTGTGAAGCAGCCGACATCAAACGGAGCTGTGCATCAAGAGCTTTCCCTCCCTCTAAACTCCCCCACCAATATACCCAAACGTGTGTCTGCGACTCCAGACATCATGTACAACCTTGCCCGCGCCCGGCCGCTGGCTCGCGCTGTTCGCGCTGCTGCTGTATGTACACACTCAATGGCTTCTCCCACGAGCTGCAAAAGGCTCTTGCACACCTGGCGCCCGCCCTCCAACGAGCATGCAGTGCTAACCAATGCCAGGAAACACCACTGAAGCGCTCCGTCATCCAGCAAAGGAGAGGCCTTGCCATCCACGAATACAGGTCCGCGGCCCTGCTCGAGTCGGTACGAGTGCTCCGCTGAAATATCCCACTATTTGGCGGGCCTGGACATCTAACACGAAACCCAGTATGGCATTGGTGTGCCCAAGGGCGGCGTCGCTACCAGCGGCGCAGAGGCTGAGAAGATTGCCCAGGAAATTGGTATGCGCCAGCAAGAGTAGACGGGCACTTTGGTTCTGGGGCTAATGTGTGCAGGCGGAGAGGACGCCGTCATCAAGGCCCAGGTTCTTGCCGGAGGCCGTGGCAAGGGAACCTTTGACAACGGCTTCAAGGGCGGTGTCAGGGTTGTCTACTCGTATGCTACCTCATTGTACTGCAACACCGTGGCCAATTCTTTAACACAGTATGCAGTCCCCGCGAAGCAGCCATCCTTGCCGAGCAGATGATCGGCCACAAGCTTATCACCAAGCAAACTGGAGCCGCCGGCCGGCTCTGCAACTCCGTATTCATTGTCGACCGCAAGTTTGCCCGCCGTGAGTTCTACCTCGCCATCCTCATGGACCGCGCTTCCCAAGGCCCCGTCATTGTCGCTTCGTCGCAAGGTGGAATGGACATTGAGACCGTCGCAAAGGAGCACCCCGAGGCCATCATCACCACCCCCATTGACATTCACAAGGGCGTCACCGACGAAATGGCGCGCAACATTGCGACCGAGCTTGGTTTCTCGGAGCAGTGCATCGAGGATGCCAAGGACACTATCCAGAAGCTCTACAAGGTTTTCATGGAGAAGGACGCTACCCAGATCGAGATCAACCCCCTCTCTGAGACTACCGACCACCAGGTCCTCGCCATGGATGCCAAGCTCAACTTTGACGACAACGCCGACTTCCGTCAGAAGGAGGTCTTTGACTGGAGGGACATTACCCAGGAAGACCCCGACGAGGTCAAGGCCGCCAAGGTTGGTCTTAACTTCATCAAGCTCGACGGTGATATTGGCTGCCTCGTTAACGGTGCCGGTCTGGCCATGGCTACCATGGACATTATCAAGCTCAACGGCGGTGCGCCCGCTAACTTCTTGGATGTCGGTGGCGGTGCTACCCCCGAGGCCATCAGGCAAGCTTTCGAACTCATCACCAGCGACCCCAAGGTCACTGCCATTTTCGTCAACATCTTTGGTGGTATCGTCCGCTGTGACGCCATTGCCAAGGGTCTCATCCAGGTTGTCCAGGAAATGAACCTCAAGACTCCTGTTATTGCTAGGTTGCAGGGTACCAACATGGAGGCTGCGCAGAAGCTGGTAAGTTTTAACAAGTCAGACTTTGAGATGGATATTTCTTGCTAACATGTTTTGTGTAATAGATCAACGACTCTGGTCTTAAGATTTTCTCCATCGATGATCTCCAGGGTGCTGCTGAGAAGTCGGTTCAGTTCTCAAAGGTTGTCAAGATGGCACGTGATATTGACGTTGGTGTTGAGTTCACTCTGGGTATCTAAACGTTTATTTACAAGAGAAGATGCGTACAGCCTTTGAGGTTTGTGTGCGGTGCGGAAGAATATATTAGTTGCGCTCCATGCGTATGCTTGTGAGAAATCCTGTGCTCGTGTGGTGGAGTGTTTGACATTTGTGAGGCTCTTGTGATTCTTGTAAACCCGGATCTTTTGCATTATTAGTACAGTGTAGAGCAGCTATATCTCGACTCAATAGGATTAGAATATACCCAACTACTACGTACTTCTCACCAAGTCCTGCTTCTACACATAGGGATCATACTATAAATAAGAAAAGTGTTCCGTTGGGGGATATGGAAGCTCTGTAGCACCTATCTTTACCTGCAAACCAGACTATTTCCGACAGATCCTTCCACGTGTTCACTGTTGTGGTCACTTTCGTAGAGCCGATACCGTTCTTGATACACTTTCTTCCCCCCGCGCCCTACTAGATGCGAACTTGCAAGAAGTTTTTGCAAATGCATTAGCGTCGCTATGAGGCTTATGTCTAATTCCACACAAACTATCTCAAAATGAAAACATGATATCCCCGGATAAATAGCTTGTGGATGTAATCAAAACGTACAAGCAGACCTTTGAATACATTAGGCCACCTGCGCCCGCTCAGGTTCTGTAACTACGCAAGGATCCACCTGCACTAACACCCAACAGGACAGAACCAGCATCCTACCTGCCGGCTTTTTAAACGAGCAACCGCTCGACGCGGCACCGCACTGAAAACGGTGCACGCCGAGGCAGCTGTCACAAACAGAACGCAGGATGCAATGTGGGACATGCAAGATCAGCGGTTGCATCCCTACCCGACAAGTGGAGATGTTAGAGAAAGCGATGATCAAAGAGTATTTTAAAGGCAGGGTGGATGTCAAAAAAAAACATCTGATAGATTTCACATCGTTCCTCTGGATCATCACAGCTTTGCTTATACCTTGCAATTCGATTCCGATATCCAAAAATGGCACCCAATCTAAGTGACCTCCCAAAAGACTACTATGTCAAAGCAATGCAATTCACAAAACGTACGCATCAAGATGCGTATCCAGCGATTGATCCGAGTCTCCCAGAGCACAGCTTAGCAGGCAAAGTCGTTATCATCACTGGAGCTTCACGCGGAATCGGAGCTACAGTACGTCCAAAAAATTACGCATCACCATACTGTACAACCATGATCGAAACTGACACAAATCTTGATGGAAAGGCAATGGTACCAGCATTCATCAAAGCCGGAGTCAAAGGCATGGTCCTCGTCGCCTCCAACGCCACCAAACTCTCCACCGTCGAAGCCTCTGTAAAAGAAGCTCACCCGGAAATCGAAACATTAACCTGCGCCGTCGACATCTCCGACGCTCAAGCCGTAGAAAAAGCCTTTGAAAGCATCAAGCAAAAGTTCGGTCACGCAGACATCCTCATCAACGCCGCCGGCGTTCTAACAGGTGACGGGCCAAAACTCCACGAGACAAACGTCGACGAATGGTGGAAGAACTTTGTACGTCTATTTTTTTTCCCTTTCCCAAAAGAAAACAAAGAAGAGAGAAAAAGGGATCTAACAAGCCCAACCCCAACCCCAGGAAGTAAACGCAAAAGGCACATACCTCCAAACCCGCTCCTTCCTCTCCCTCCTCCCCTCCTCCCCCACCTCCACCCCCGCCACAATCCTCACCCTCTCCTCCTGGCAATCCTTCTTCACCGTGCCCGCCGTGGGCGGCTACTTGATAAGTAAATTCGCCGTCGACGCCCTCGCCGCCTACGTCGCCGCCGAGTACCCGTGCGTAACATCCATAAGCATGCATCCAGGGATGGTGGCGACGGATATGCTGCGGGAACCGTTTCGCTCGTTGTTCAATAATGATAGCGCCGAGTTGGTGGGGGGCATGGCGGTGTGGGTGTGTCAAGAGAAGGCGAGGTGGTTGAGTGGACGGTTTGTGAGTGTGAATTGGGATGTGGAGGATTTGATGGCGAGGAAGGGGGAGGTTGTTGAGAGAGATTTGCTAAGGTTGGGGATGAGGGGGGAGTTTGGGGTCTAAGATGTGTTTGGATAGGGACTGATGTGGTTTTGGAAGTGGGGGGGCAAGGTGATACAAAGCATCTATTGATGGAGATTTGAAGAAAAAAAATTATCTCTTCATTTAGGGAGAGACACAAGCGTAAGATCAGTAGTAGACAAGGAAAAATATAACAAGCTTTTCAACAGCTCCAGTCCCACACGTTAATCACCTCCTCAATCCCTCGTAAATCATTTCTTCTCCCCCTGCACACTCTTTGCCCCAGCTCCTGTCGTATCCCCCACAAACTTGCCAGCAGCTACACAACCTCAATATCAGCTTTTCATCCCCACCTTCTCTCGATGAAAACATACCTTTCGTCGTCTCCCCAACACCAGACGTAACCCCCGTCACCGCATCCCCCAACCCCTTCCCACCAGCCGCAACTACATTCCCCGTTGTATCCGTTATGCCCTGGACACCCTTTCCGACGGTGTTGGTTGCGGCGCCGAGGGTGTTTCCTGGTAGTTTTTGTTAGCTTGGCGGGCGGAACGCAGAAGGGAAGGAGGGAGGGAGGGTTGGGTGGACTGAGGGAATGAGAGTGGAGGGGAAGAAGCGAACGAAGAAGAATGATAAAAGAGAAATGAACATACCCAATCCACTCGCCGCCGTTCCAAAAAAGCCTACAAAACATCAATTCATCAGCCTCTTTCCCTTCCTCAATCTATCACCCCTAGTTCAAAACCCCCCCCCCCCCTTACCTTTCTTCTGCTGCTGCTGTTCGTTCTGCTCAGCCATTTTTGATTTGATGTGGAATTGTCCACTTTTGCGAAATTACGTCTTCTTCCTTTTTGTTTATCTGTTTCAGAAACAAAAATATGTCAGAATAGTATGTAGTAGATGTGTATAGTACGAACCCTCGGAAGCGGCCACTTATAACGTTGCGGAAGAGGGGAGGGGGTTGCTGATCTCATGTTTGGTTGGTATGACGTAACCTTCCTTTCCCTTGTCCCTGCATATCTTTCGTTCCCTCCCGCCCCCTCCCCCTCCTCATCAAACTACTCAGTCGATCTTCTTTGCGTAGTAATCGAATCACAACGTCACTTTGCTTGCATAGAGTAGATTATTCCCTGACCCCAGTTTGGACTCAATTGGCAGGTGGAAAATAAGCACCTTCAACACAGCACCAACCACATTCATCACGATCAACACAATGGCCACAACCTGTGAATAGAACAAATGCATTCTAACTAGAGCAAACGAAAAATAATACACAGCAGTTTTGATCCTCCGTCATTCCATGCTAGCCTTTTGTTCAACCACATAAAATCCTGCTTCTCGTGACCCAAGTCGTTTTTGGTTCGCAGGTTGCATGCCTAAGCAATGTCTGCTATCGTCGGCGGCACCGCACCATAAAGCTACTCACTCTTCGTTTGCAAAAACACAAGTGAGAATGAGGAGAAGAAGAAAGAAGAAAAGTACATCGAGGTTGCGGAAATCGAAGAGAGACATTGACAGGAGAAAACGGCATCCCTTCTACCTGTCCAACCCTGCCAATCATAACAGAAAAAGATGAAAAACTTGAGGAAAACGGGGGGTGCAAAATCAGAGCCCCAGGATACCACCCATGACGCTTATGAAAAGCGTACAGTTTGGGCCACCTTCCCTCTTTATATCCGGAACGCCGTCGTGTTTGGTAGTGCCGTGATAAACATGCGTGAAGAAAAGTCGAAGCTTTTGTAAAGGTCACCCGTGGGAGATTGAGAACCCAAACCCGTTTGGAAACGACCTAGCGCTCGACAACAAGGAAACTTTTGGAATCCACCAGTCTTGAAAAGCTGCAGTAAGGAAACCCTGCAAAATGCAGAACAATGCGCGCTGACATGCCCCCGTCTATGCAACGAAACAAGCGATTAGATTACCGCGTGCGGCATGGTCTAGGGGTATAACCGTCACGCGCCTGAACGAAGAAAGGTAATCACTCGGATGACTTGGCCTCCGCCTCAGCAGAGTTCTCTTCTGGAGCTTGCGACGAAGAGGCTGCCTCGCCGGCGTCTTCGTTGCTAAGAGCTGCTAGCGCACTGTCATGATGTTAGTACAGAATTTTACATGTTGGCTGATATGAAAAACTTACCTGAAAGCATTTGCATGGGCATTCGAGTCCTTCTCCTTCTGCACGGGTGGGGTACCAGTGCGCGAAGAAGCTCCAGAGTCGTCACCACCACGACCCATCATGCTAGGGCCGAGACCACGACGGCCACTACCGCTGCGGCTGCCGAGCATAGACGGACCAAGCGCTCCGGCATTGTTGAGGTTGCGGCCAGAGGCGCCCTTGGAGAGCTTGCGGAGGTCATCCATCTGTACACGACTGCCAGTGTCGGGAGGCGGTTGCATGCCAGCGCCAGAGAATGAACGGGCATCGCCACGGCCCATTGGGAGACGACCACCACCACCGCGCTGGTTCGAACGTGTTCGCTCCATCTCAGCAGCCTGCTGAGCGGCCATGGCCTCTTGATGAATCTCGGCAATAGTCTTGGGGCCCTTGAGATTGTCCTTGGACTTCCATCCGGACTTGCGCAGATCAACAGTGTCGAGCAACATGAAGTGCATACGCGAAGGAAGACCCTCCATGTTCATGACCTTCTCGATACGCTCAAAGTACATGTTGATCATCTTGGGGCCAGCCTCAGCAGACTCCATGGTGGCACCAACGGTGCGGAGCAGCTTGACCAAACTCTCAATGGCGGCCTCGTCAGGAAGGCCTTCAAAGTCAAGAAGCTTCAGGACACACTCGTGCATGATTCGTAGCGTCAACATGCCGAGCTTGTACAGCTCTCCGATAAACTGGATCAGACCGAGACCCTTACGCTTAGCAGCAGCGGCAACGTAGTACTCGTCTGAAAGCAGCTTGGCCTCTTTGCCGTCCTCGGGAGCGTCAGGAAGGTTGACTTCCCAACCACGCTCAAACTCTTCCTGACAGCGGTTGAGAAGGTACTTTCGGAAGAGAGCACCACCAACAACAGGGTTGCCATGCTTGTCTCGGACGTTCTCGTCCTTGATTTCTGTGCTCATAGTCTGCAGCATGCGACTGCAGAACTTGGCGTACATGGAAGACCAATGGCTTTCGTCACAGGCCTTTTCGAACGTGAGCTGAATGACTTGGCGGAGCGTGCGGCCGTCAGTCTCATCCTTGGATTGCCCAGCAATCTCGAGAATCTGGTCTGAAATCTTGTCGAACTTGTCGGGTGTCATCTTGTTGAGAGCAGCCTTGACCTTACGCTGTACCATGTCAGGAGGCATGTGGCCTGAAGGCGGCGCGGCTGCTGCGGGCGCAACAATCGATTGAGGAACCCATCCAGTTTGCGAGCGTTGGAGGGCCTTAACCTCCTGACCAGCAGTAAGAGGCATGGCCTTGGCGTCTTGAGCAGCGTTGTTGTTACCACCGCGGCGGCTACCGCCTCCCTTACCACGAGAGCTTCCAACACGAGGAGAGTTGGGACCATGGGGCATGCTCTGGTAAGAGCTGGTACGAACCATCGGGGGTGCCATAGGGAATGCGCCACCACGTCCACCACCTAGAACGACATGAGCAAGAGGGTTCGTCATAGAGCCACGTCCACCTTGGGCTTGCTGGAAACGCTGTTCGGATGTCGTACCTGGTGGGAGTGTTCGACCTCCCAATGAGCCGCCTTGGCCAAATGTGCCCATGCCACCGCCGCCGCCGGCACCGCGAGAAGGCTGTCGTCCGCCGCCGATCATGGAGCCAGGGCGAGCCGATGGAGGACCACGAGCCGAAGCAGGCTCATCACCAACAGTCTCCTTCAACTTCATATCCCAGTCAACAGAAGGCTTCTCCTTGAAGACATCTTGGAACTGGAGCAAAAAGTCCTTGTCGTACTGGCGGCCCTTGCTTCGGTTGCTGTTGTTCAGGGCCGGGTTAGGGCTTGAAACACCTTGTGGGTACTGAATCTCATTGCGGACCTCGAGGAAGCGTGCAGTCTTGAGTGCTTGCATACCAGCAGTTGGCTGAGCGGGCTCAACAGACTTGTTGGTCTCAAGCTTGAGAGCAGCTGGCTTGGGCTTTGTGCCAGTTGGTGTCTTGGAGGGCGCAGGAGCGACCACAGGAGCGGGCTCTGCTGGTTCCCCAGTCTGCGAGGCACCAGGACCAAACATGGTGTTCTTTTTGAGGCTTGCGAAGAGCTCCTTGTCCTTGGCCTCACGTTCAGCCTTTTGTTCTGGAGTCTCTGCTGCACGAGCTGCCTCGGCCTCTTCGGCCTCGCGCTCGAGCTTGCGAAGACGCTCTTCCTCTTGCTTGATCTTCTCAGCAGCGTTGGCCTTTTCGGCCTCGGCCTTCTTCCTCTTCTCTTCCGCATAGCGCTTCTCGTCCTCTTCACGCTTCCTCTCTTCTTCCTCCATTTCGGCAATCATGCGCTCCATCTCTTCATCTTCCTTACGCTTCTTCTCTTCTGCGTCGAGCTCAGCCTTCTTGGCAGCTTCAGCTTCCTCCTTCTGCTTAGCCTCGAGGGCAGCCTTGGCCTCTGCCTCTTCCTTGGCAGCAAGCTTAGCGCTGGCCTCAGCCTTTGCCTCGTCTTCACTGGCCTCCTTGGCCTTCTTCTCAGCTTCTTCCTGGAGACGGAGCTTCTCTTGGAATTGCTTGACAAAGTCAGCCTTCTTAGCGGCAGTGTCTTCAGCACGAGTGGTATCGGAGGCGCTTGGTGCGCGAGGAGGAGTGGGGGTGGCGGCAATGGCTGGTGACCTGGGAGCAGCGGGTGGAGCAGATGCGGTAGCAGTTGGGGCGGGCGATGAGCCCTTGCCCTTGTTGAAGTCGACAACTTCACCGTCGGCAGTCTTGATAACTATGGCCTTGCTTTGCCTCTTTGGACGCTCGAAGCTTGTGGTGGGTGCTGGGCTCGCCGATCCCATGCTGGGCGTGTGCGTGTGCGAGATGTGATTGACGTTGGTCATCGCAGGGGTAGATGGCTGCGGAACAGCAGACGAGGGGCGCTCCGACATGTTAGAGGGCGTACGGGACATGCTCTGAGCCTGGGGTTGGTGGCCGTAGGGTGCAACACCGTAAGGAGCCGGCTGCATTTGCGGAGGGAAGGCGTGGCCACGACCGGGACTGGCGGGGACACCTGGGTAGTGAATGGACTGCTGTAGTCCGTAGCCCTGACCTTGAGGGTAGAAGTTGTTGTACGGATCAAGGCCAGGTTGCGGCATGCCGTACATGGCCTATATTGATATAAAGGTTAGGGAGAGTTCGGTATGGTGGGGTTTGAAAAAGATGGAGGGGTTGGAAAAGAAGCGAGAAAAATTGTTGGGCAACATGGACAGAGTGCTTGAAAAAAGGCTCTTCGTCATTCGCTGACCAACGGTATGAGAAAATAAAAAATGTGGAGACTTGTGGTTCAGTAGAAGATAATTGGGCTGGGAACGAGGAAACAGAAAATAATTGGGGGGTTAAACATGGTAGAGGATATACACACCTGCTGAGCATAGGGCTGTCCTTGGTAATATGGCATGCCCTGTGGATTGGCAAACTGCTGTTGCGTATGCATAGTGGCGGGCGTCATAGCGGGGCTGCGGTTCTGCGTGTATGGAGAACGCTGCGCCATCTGGCCTGGAGGCTGGAATGGCGGGGTCATACCGCGACCCATTTGTTGAGGCATGGAGCGGTATGGCTGTGGCGAGTGGTTTGCCATTTGTGGGTTGTAGTGTCCTTGTGGGTACCCACCACGGCCGCGGCTAGGAGGGTAGCCTCGACCCATGTTTGCATTGCTCATGTCGCTGTGTGCAGACTGGGAGGATTCGCGGCGCAGATGTTGAGCCTGAGGAAGCGAATGCGAGTTGGGTTGAGGGGGCATGGTAGGGCGAGCCTGTATGTGGGTTAGCATGTGAGGCTGAAAATGGTGGGGGCCGCATCCGAAGCAAAGCGCGGACTTACGTTTGACTCGGTGCCTTCACCGCCTTGACCACCAAACACCAGATTTGGGCGAGTGGGCAGACCGTCAGGCTTGGGACCACCAGAAATGGGTGTAGGAATGGGTGAGGGTGAGTGTGCTGGAGAGGCAACGCGTGGGTTCTGTGCCTGGGGGTTCAGGTTTCCCTGGACTACGGGCGAGGCGTGGGCAGGCGCTGGGGATGCGGCGAGCGATCCGAACTTGATAACGGAGGGGGGGCCGCCTGCAGTGGCGACGGGCGGAGTCTGCTTGATCTGAACAGAGGACTTGCGCTCGTGGGCGTTGGCACTGCCGTTGGGGCCGCCGCTCACAATAGTGGGCATGGCGGGAATGGCGGGCTTGATGGCACTGTTGCCATTCACCGGGGAGACAGAGGAGCTCTTTCCATGCTGCGCGCTCTGAGGTGCTCCCACTGCCACGGGTGGGGTTGCGCTAGACACGATTGCAGGCTTGGTCGCGTTTGCGTAAGAGCTCCGGGCAGCGGGTTGCGCCGATCCAGCGGCCACGGTGGCGGACGATCCTGAGGAGGAGTTGTTCGCGGTCGTAGTCGAGGAAGCGGCGATGGGCGGGGTCTGCGAGTTGGAGATGGAATTACTCATGGACTCGGTGATGGCGGTGGGAGAAGCGGGGATGAGGATGCGGTCGGCGGGCAGGACAATGGGTTGATGGATATTGCCGGATGACGTTGTCGCTGGAATCCCAGATTCGAGCGAGGGTGGCGGGGGTGGGTTCTGCGGTATTAATGAGTTGCTGGCGACAGCGACTCGGGGCGGAGCAGAAAAGAGTGTCTTTGGATGAGGCAAAGGGCAGAGGTCAACTCCTTTACACAGGGCGTTGGAGGCTGTCCGAGCGCTTCAATGAAGAAGGAGTCTCGACAGGATTTCCGTGTCCGGATTTTTGGGGGGGGGGATGGACTTCGACGAATAAATTCGTGAAACCAGCAAGCAAGCGGCTCTTGTGATGATCACCGAGTCCGCTGCGTGTCGAGTTGGTAGATGTTCTCGCTATGGAGAGACGGGTGTGAAGAGGGACGGTGGTTGGGCTCTTTCGAAAATTGTTTGAGTGCCAGGCTAAGCCGCAACAAGGATGTTGGCCTAGCCGAGCCCTTGAACGTCAGCCCCAACACCTGCGCCCACCACGTCCAAATGGCGGTTTGCTGTGACTGCATCTCTGCATGTGCTTGCTGTTGAAGAGTCACGACATTGTCATTGCAGTATTGGATTGACAGGACTGTTGTTGAGGCGCCCTGGCGGACAGCACGAGCATCTGTGTTTTGATGCATCCGATAAGGCAGGCGGGGGGGATGGATAATGGCATGCCATAGTAGTGTCGCCTCTCCTCCCACTCTGCCTCGCCACAACGCCGACCAAGCACATATGTACGTACATATACATACAAATGTACTTACCTAGTACGTACTGTGCTGAGACCTGTTTGCTGTTTCAAAAGACGGATACCTCAATGAGAAGCGTTGTTTAGCATGGACATTGCTCTTTTGGTTTTCCCCCGCAGTGCGACTTTTGCTGGTGGTCTGCCAACGTGTGCTCCGCAAACGCCAGGTCGCACAGTTGGGCAGTGGCGCTGGCGGGCGTGGAGGAGAGGAGCAACAGGCAGCACTGCAATGGTCACGACGACATGGAGGCCTGACCAGTCATACAAAGGCTACAGCAAATGACCCCGCGACGGTAGGCTGCAAAAACATTGGTGACTGGAGGAGTACTGACGTCTTGTATCGCGGCCCATGCACAATGACGCCTGAATATGAAAAAAAAACAGACATTCACGTGAAAGGACAAGTCCGGTTAACTCCGGCATCATGTGAGGTCAGCTCTTGTGTTGTGGCCACGACGCATTTGCTTACCCCTCTTGTCGCCAGCTATCAGGCGCTGTGCTACTATGTCGCTGCTGCCTGCCTGCCTGCCTAGAATACGGATTCAGATGCACAGATGTAAATACGGATTGACTCTGATGAAGAGTCAAACATCTGGCGTATAGATATGCGGGTCGTGGCTGGTCGACTGGAAATATGTCGTAGTATTCACGAATAGGAAGAGCAGGAAGTACCGATACGAAGCGATACGAAGCGCGAGCTAGTGGTTGTGTTATTGTTGTAGTACTTGACTAGTACTAGTTCGCCCCTTGAACATGTGTTCGGTCTGCTCACGGCCAAACTGGTACTTTGCCTCTACTTGCGGTCGTTCGTACAGCTGACGGGGGCGTAATAGGTGGAATCGAGATTGTACTAGCATCAAATTGGCGCACAGGTGTTGTGGGCTGACTAAGGCAGCCGAGGTAAAGCACGTGGCGGCCTAGTCTCTTGGACAGTCAGCAAGGGCACTTGGTACTCTATCCTCTACGCATTACGTGCAGAGTGTGGAGTGCGGAAATGCGGAGTGCAGTGGTTGTGAGGGACAAAGATGCAAACTATGGGCGTGGGAAATAAAGTTACGTGCCACAGTGAGACGGCCGGCTAGCACAGGAGCCGACAGTAGGTACCAGAGTACTGTCATGCAACTTGGCCTGTAGTGCCATTGCCTCTACCGGGCTTGCGGGTCTGGCAGGCCTCAGTAACACGGCAGGAGCACTGTCGTGGCATAAACAGCTCCCGAACGCGGCGCTTCTTGAAACCCAGGCCGAGGTCGAGATGCACCAAGCTGGTGGAGAGAAGGACTTTTGGTGGTACTCTTATACTTGGTACACGTCTTGGGCCGGGAAGGGTGTTGGCTTGGAGGCGCGCACGCGATTGGCCGGGCGGCCATGAACAAGACGAACATGGCCTGGCAGGGGTGCAACGGCGAGGACAGAGATGGCTCGGCATGACTGCGCTGGCATTTCTGCCTCGTCCGTCAATCTTGGCTCAATCACGTCCTGCCCCGCGGTTGAGGCTGGGGGGAGGTGTGGGGGAGGTTGCATGTCGCAGCGTGTGCCGTGCGGGCCTTTGGTTTCTTGCTGCGAGAGGAGAGCAGAATTTGGCCGTCTGGAGCATGTACCTGGCAAGTCGCAGCAAGCAAGTACTAGGAAATCCCACCTCTCATACCAGGCGTGGCCATGGGCGCTTGGCCAACCTCGGCGAACAGGCGCTGCTCGCTGCTTCTAAGGCAGAAAAGCCGCCGGCTGTGGCAGCAAAGCGCCCTAGGCCTGCATCTTGAGGCGAAAGCCCAGTTTTGAACATGTGCCAGCTTCCGCATGTCGTATCTTGCTCCGCCGCCCGGTGGCCTCGAGTCAGAAGGTTTGTGGCCGATGGCGCAAGCCTGCCGTCGTCAGATCGCTCGCCGCTGCTGGTCACCTCGTATCCGTCAGTGATCGCCCTGCGCCGTACGCAACCCAACGGCTGAGGAACCACATCTCGGGCACTAACAGCGCCTCGCAATCCTTTGGTGTTTACTCTTACCATTGGTACACGACATGTCAACACCTACTCACCATCTCTAGAGCCCTGTCTGGCTTGCCTTTTGCTTCGTTCTACCTAGACGCCGGCACATTGACGTACGTACGGATACGTGCCTGTATAGGTAATGGGAACGCTGCAGTTGGAACAAGTGTGTGTGGGTTTGGCGCTGCAGGCGGGACATGAGTGCTTTTCTTTTTTTGCTGTCCTGCATCATCGCATCCCGCCCTTTTGCTTCTTCGCCCTGCCGTTGTTGCATTGCCAGACTTCGACTAGGTCCAAGTCTACCGCCGCCGCCGACTACACGCCAACCGCTGGCTGCTGGCTGCTAGCTGCTGGCCACAAAAAGCATGGATGCCCAATGGCTGGCATTGGCCATGCGCGTCAGCCTTTTCCAATACCTCGTTGCATCTCGCTTCCCGTCCGACAGGCGCAGGTGTAGGTTAGTACAAGTACAACAACAGCTACATCTTACACCTACGCCTAGTCGAGGTACACACTTGACCATCATGACGCCAGCGCTACCAAACTTTGCACATCCCTGTCCGCCCGTGGACCGAGCGCTACAACACCCTCCCCTCGCTCCACTCCACCTCGTTCCCTCTCACCCACGTGACCAGCCTTTCGCTTTTGCTGTGCAATGCGAGCCATCGACGTCGACTCCGCTCCCAATCCGGAAACCGACCACCACACGTCATGCTGGTCCTGCCGCGCGTGCGGAAACAAGGACCGGTTGCAACAGCATTGTCCCGCAGGGCTGACCGTCGTACGCCCCCAGCGTCCCGCTCACCTCTTCCCTCCACCATCCACCCGCACATCTGCATTGCTCGACGATCCCCATGGCCTTCTCCAAAAGCCAAATGCGGCCAATGGGCCAGTGTGCTCGCAACCCCAGCTTTGAGCCGTACATACCTACTATACACACGCACACGTACATATGTACTCCGCATTCTCCTCATGGGTGGCTAAAAGTTCCTGTCGAACCAGCGGGTATTCAGCCGGCATGGCTCGCAACCGCTTGCCCTTTGGCACGGCCCCTTACTCATCTTCAGGCACATCGTTCCGGCTTCCTTGGTCCTCGATGCCGCGCGCCTTGCTCCCATGTACCTGCACCACGAGCCCATCCTTCATCTCCTACGGACAATAAATTTGGTTGCCGCCATGTCCGACTTGGAGTAAGCTTTCCAGTGGCTGTGCCCAGAAGCAGCACGACACTCTTCGTGAATAAAGGCACCCCGCGTATGCCACTGTGCTCAACCTCCACTGCATCCAAACGCAGCACCTACAAGGATGGCACCAGCCAACGCTCGTGCTTGCAGCACCAGTACCACATGATGCGCTCCGCACAACATGAACGGTAGCTGTCGAGCCTCGAGCCGGAATCGCGTACCGCGTCGCCACGTCCGTGTCCTGGAGACGAGGTACCATGACACTAGCTGGGCCTCTTGCTAGAGTTATGGTCCGTCATTGTGTCCTGGGCCCACTTGAAACCTCTGTTCATTTGCATTTCTTTGGACCATCATGGCTCGGCCCTTCGTCAATGTGTGTCCGAGGCTAACAAGCTTTGAATCCACAATGACAAGCTGCTAGGACTGTCTCTAAACGACGCCTATCACACCGCCACCGGGAGCAATGCATGGCCACCCTCGTTTGCCCTCTGAGCGAGGTCCAGTCAGCCAATTCATCCACATCACATGCATCGCCTTACCTCCCACGGCTCCTGCTTCGTCCGCTTGCACTATCCGCCTTCTCCCGGCACAACCATGTACCATGCTCCCACTCCTCCTCTCACCCCTGCCCACACTCGCGAGCCTTCTCGAACTACCATCCTGGCATGGACAAATCGCACCCGAATCACCCAATTCGCCCGCCTATTCTGCCTACGCTAGCAATGCCCAGCCTGGATTAAGCCTAAGATCTGGCCGCCGTCTGTCTTTACTAGCTTTGGTTCTTGGACCGAGGCATGCAACCACCTCGTCACTCCGAGGTGCGTGATGCCAGTAGCAGCCGTTAATAACTCTAATCCAGTTAAGATCCACACCTAGCATTCTGTTCCTCGCGATATGTACACCCCCCAGCTAAGATGATGCCAATCAGAACGCCAACCGTCGCAAGAGACTGGAATCTCAGCGAACATCACGCAACCACCTTGCTCTGGGGCGTCCCCACCCCCCAGACTTATGCCCACCATCCTTATCCATACCTGACTGGCATGTTTGTGGCGCATGCGTTGTCCCTCTGCTAGTCTGCTCTGGCCTGCAGCTCAAGCCCGAGCCTATCAAGACGTTATCCACCGACCCCAGGTATTCTTCCCCGCATAATGCACAGTGATCTTGCAAAAGACGGGAATTACAGGTGTGCATAACTATATGACTCGAGAAGAGGCAGAAAACAACAATGTGTCAGACGGGTACACTGCAGCAAGAATCGCGTTGCACTATACGGCGTGCATGTGTTTTTTTGTTCAATTCCGCCTTCTCCACGTTTTGACGGATGCTGCTGTGCCACCAGTCCACAACATCTCCACAGTTTCCAAGCGGCTGTTGAATCCGTGGGCTCGAACACCCGGGCCCGGCAGATGTGAGGCCCAAAGAAGAAAAGATATGTCCATGACTGCCTGTCCAGGCATTTTTGGTACTGATCTTGTTTTCCAATTCGCCGTGGTCCTTGCGTTGTTCTATCCACTTTACCCATCAAGTAATCTCCCATGTAAGTAGCATGCGCAACGACATCGGTACCAGCAACAACAAAACAAGGCCACTAACTGATGCTGCTCCTGCCCCCGTGACATGAGGTAGCACCAGGGCAAACCCCCTCAAAGTTCAAACTAATGCAAGCCCGCATGCAATAACGCATGCACGTAACCAAGTCTTTTGCCTGCCTCAGCCCAGCAACCCCGCGGTTCCTGAGCCTCAGAAGCCGAAATTAACATGCACCTCTGGCTCATCCTAGTCTGGGGTAAGAGCATCAAAGTGTGGAGTCAAGACTAGCTACCCATGTGGTGTCATCTTTTCCCTTTCAGCCGCTTCTTCATTCCACATGGCTTCTCTTTTCTTTCTGTCTGTAACATGGCGTTCTTAGGCGAATCCTCATATACCCTCCCCGGCCGACGATTACAAGCCATCAGTGGATCACCGCAAAGACTGCAGCATCAACATATAGCGCGCGTGTGTAGGTCATGCGCAAAGGGGATAATAGCAGCGGATCTATGCTTTTGGCGTGAGTGCGAGTGTGTGTGAGTGGAGCATAATGGAAGGCAAGAAACCAGCTAGAAGTTTGTGGAGAAGAGCCCGCTTGGTCGAATAGGCCGGCTAACAAGCGGCGAAAGAGAGGGGAAGCGTGGTTCGTTCGTAGAAGGTTTCTGGAAGAAGAGCTAGGTCGATCAGGGTGGTACTACGGGTAAGGTCGTTTGAGATTTTCTCTTCCCCAGTGACTGCATAGCTACGCATACGTACGTACGTACGTAGGGATATGCTAGTCTGGCAATGGTTTCTCCCGTAGCATGGGCAAGACAATGGCAGTGGTGGTGTCCTCTTGGCCGATCTTATCCTCTTGGTTTCTCGGTGGTGTCTCGAGGACACTAAGCTTGGCCGTATCTCTTGGCGACTTCGGAGTGAGAAGACATGTACCTGAACTTTGCTATCATCTCGATACGGTCATCGCTATGTCGTAGACAGACGTCTAATTTCCATTAGCACCGCGCTCGCCGCGGATATCCATAATCCACCGTTCTGAGCAAGATGTCTGCATCGGTCAAACAAAGTCGGGCTGTGCATACCCGGTACTCTGCCTGTTCAATCTGATAGCCCCTCACCCATTCATCCGCCCAACCATGACATCCCACTACGCCCTCTGCCCTTGCACTAGTCTCCCCCCCCTCCCCCCTCCCTCGCAGCCAAACCCCATCAACTCGCCAAGCGTCCCGCCCGGGACCTCGGGCAAATGCCATTGCGAGATGAGCGTTACATGGTTGCTTTGACATGGATGCTCACCTCACAAGCGCCGGGCTCCGAATCCTTCTTCGCACCACAGCCGCATAGTCCCCACCCACACATGGTCCTTTGCTGCAGCAAGAATAAAAGAAAATGCAAAGAGGAAAGACAATGAGTACTTGCTAGCGAGTCATACACGCACATCATGCCTTTTGCGACAAACGACATCGGAACGAAGCAGCATGCGTTCCGTAATGTAGTTGCATCTTGCTAGGGAGAAGAAAAAATATTGTTGCATCGCGTAGACATGCGACGTTGTAGTGCTCCTCGGACAATGTCCTTACCAGCAACCATGTCCGCGCCCCGAGGTTCTCGCCAAACCATGGCCTACAGCAAAAATACCCAACAAGACGGACAAGATACCACAAAAAACAAAACAAGCCTCCGAAATTTACAATACACAAGTAGGACCGGCCAAATGCCTTATTCGTGTCCTCAACCGCCCATTTTCTGCCCGAAGTTCTTCCCTTTTGCACTAGTTTGGTAACTTAGCGAAAACGTGGGTGCTGCAATTCTAGGCCCCAAACGTAGTAAGCAGTAGTACTAGGTTAGTACCATGTGCGTATAACACCAAGAACCAAAACAAAAGCAAAGAAAAAGAACCACCGAACGCGCCGCCCGGAACGGCATTTTGACCCACCCTGTTACACGCCGTCTTTTTCGCCCGGCACGCCGAAATCAAAAAAAGAAAACAGCCGGGCACTGCCGCAAAAAGACAGCCAGATAATCGCATGACTTCGAGGGGGGGGGGGGTTTGTGTACTGAAACCGCACACCCCTTCACATGCAAAAAGAGAATGTCTGTGTTGGTGCGTGCGTGCGTGCGTTGCGTGATTTTTTTCCCTAAACATTCATGACAATTCAGCGGAATTAAGGAACAACGCCGGAAAGGGTCCCAACCCTAGACGTCAATGACATGCACAAAAGTGCAAACATGGGACAAATCGAGATGGGCTGGGGGAAAATTCCTAGGGTCCAGGGGAGGAAGGGAGGGTCCGAGCGTCAGCATCCTTCGCATTGTATACCAAAAGCAAAAAGCAAAAAAGTGTAAACGACATACTTGACTACTTACTAAGGTCAAAACCATATCTCAAACTTGTACATTGGCCATGCAATCATCCCACGTGTACCCATCCCCAACCCACCATTCGACATTTGCAAAATAGCAATATGACATGGACAAATGCCAACGTAGCTAGCACACAGCCCTACATAGTAGTACCCACAATAGCACCTATCTCTCTCTCTCTCTCTTATCACTATAGCGCCTTTCAAAATCTAAATAGATTGCAAAACAAGTGCCAAAAGACCAGAATCCAGTATCCACCCCCATGCCCATTTGTCCAAATCCATCTATCCGACTCAAACCACACTCCTACCCCTCTAACCCAAGCCTCTCTTTCTCTGTATCTATCTATCTATCTAAGCAAAAGGGGAAAAGGGTAAAGAGCCACCCCCCCCCCCGCGTTCAATCCACTACACTTATTTTACAAACCCCCCCCCCCCCCCCCCAAAAAAAAAGTCAGGTAAAATACATGGTATCTTCGGCACCGAAAACCACACACATGGGGAAAACCAAACCAGGGAGATGCTTCCTTCAGTCAGGTCCATCTTGGGTGTAAAAAGTACCCAACTCACAACTCACTTTATATGCTAGCCCGCCGAGAAACAAGGATTAATGACGGCGACGACGACGACGACGACCGATTTGGGACGAATAGAAGAAGAAGAAGAAGAAGAAGAAGAAGAAAAAGAAGGGTACCCACATACAGCGCGTATATACAAGATAAGAAACTACACACAGACAAGACCCAAGACAGGGGGGCAAGAATAGATAGTGGGAAAGTGGAGTTTTTTGCATGGTGTGATGTTTTAGAGAAGAAAGAAGAAAAAAAGGCTCTACTACGGAGAAACGTAGAAAGAATATCGGAGGAATTATTGTTGTCGAGGCTCAAACACTCGTGATGTTCATTTATTTCATTAATCTTTTTTTTTCGAAACGAGGATGGCGAGACTTGGCTGTGGTGGGAAGGTATCAATGCTCTAGGGCTTAGTGGCTTTTGGCTGGTTGGCAGGTTTGGCAAGGGGGCGAGTGAGCGCAGAAAACCAAGCAAGACAAGCCAAGAACACACACCCACAGACATAGAGAGAGAGAGAGACAGGCACACACAGACGGACAAGTTTGAAAAGAAGATTGCAGTGATGATGTTGGTAATGTTTATTGTTTAAGAATAAAAAGAATATACACAAGAATAAAAGTTAATGTACCGATATAATCCGAACCTGTATAAGTTAATCCCCGGACCAAACGCAAAAGTAGTATATAATGAACAGGAGAAATCGACAAGCCAGGCTCCCCCACCAAGATACCCAATCGATGAAAAAGAAAAGAAACAGAAAGCTCGACGGATATTTCGCTGTAACAACGAGGAAACAGACAAAAGTGTTAAAAATACGAACAACAGAATGAAGAAACACGAAAACCAAAAAGACAATTCATCATGTCGTGAATTCCCCAGCCCAGAAATCCAAAAAAAACTAACCCTGTTTTTTTGATTGCAAAAAAGGACCCCTGCCCTTGAAGTGAGATGACCATACCCTAAAAAAACAAACGCCACATGGGTAAAAAAGACTTGGCTAAATGAACAGAGGCGAAGTTTTTAATATTGACTGTTGGAATGGTGGTCGTCGCTGTGCTGGCTAGCGTTCTCCATGACGTCTCCAAGGGACGAAGCGTATGTGTCGTTATGGGCGGAATCATTGCGCATGTACGAGTTGGGAAAGGTCGACAAGTGGTGGGGTGCACTCATCTGGGGCATGGCAAAGCTTTGCGTGACAAGTGGTGAGCTGGAAAAGGAAGGGAAATGGGCCGTTTGAGGTGTGGATCCGTTGCGCTGGGGTGTGAAGTTGCTCAGCTCGATGCGGCGGGGAACGCCGTTAGAGAAAGAGCGCATTCGGCCGTTGGAAGCGCCGAAGCCCGGCACCGGTGCATCTAGGATAGGGTTAGACAAGACTTTGTAATGCTTGGGTTACCAAGACAACTTACAGGAGTATCCAAGACCATAGGGCATCGAAGTGCTCGGGTATGACCGTGCACTATCTGGGTGACCATGTGAGCCTGGTGTGGTGGGGTGGTCGCCGACACTAGTGTAGCTCATGCTGGTCCTTAGGGGTGACTGCAAGGACTCTGCACGGCTCCTTGAGATGCGGTCGGCATGTAGTGAAAGGCGAGGGATGCTGTGGTTGGCAGCGTAGGCAGGGGGGTTACTGACGGGCATCGAGAAGGGGTTTGATGTCCTTGGGCTAGCCTCGAGCGGTGCCGAGTGGAATCCAAAGGGTGATCCTTCGTGGGCTGATACTGGCGAGATTGCCTCTGTGGCCGACTGTGGGGGTGTGAAGGAGAAGCCGCCAAAAGCAGGGGTGATGCCCGTGGGCGACATGTGAGAGTCGAGTGGTCCGCGACGGAACGTGTCGATGCTCAGTGGTCGCATCATGTTGCCCTCGGCGTAGCTCGGTTGGTAGGATCCAGGCGAGGCAAGAGGTGTACCAAGGCCTTGCGAGTTACCAAAGGGAGCGTGCAGAGCGGAAGCCATGTCGAAGTCATCTGGAAGTGCGCGAGACCTCATCATACGCTCACGGTCGTCGCTTGTCAAGCGCTTGAGCTTCGCACGCCTATCATAGCATTAGCATCTTCGTTGAGGCGAGGCCGTCCACTGTACAACTTACCTGTTCTGGAACCAAACTTGGACTTGACGAGGGCTGAGACCGGGAATCTCGCGGGCCAACCGCTCGCGGTGAGCAGCATCTGGGTGGGCTTGACGGGCAAACTCGCTCATGAGGAAGCGAGTCTGGTTGTGCGTAAGGCGGAACCTCTTCATCTTGCGCTTCGCCGCCCGGATCTCTGCAGCTGACATCGGTGGCCGGTCCTCGTCTTTGCTCTCGTCATCACCACAGTCGTCTTTGTCGTCTGAGAAGAGATCGTCTTCTTGGTCTTGGTCCTCAACCTTGCCAACAGTGACGCCGTCGTTTGTTGAAGGGGGGGTGAGCCGGGAGATTGGGCTAGTGGGAGCAGAGCCGCCAAAGGTCACATTTGGAATGTCGTGCTGCTCAATGTCGTCGAGGCCAGTTAGTGTGTCAGTGCCAGCGTTGAGGTGGTTCTTGCTGTCGAGCAGATAGGGAAAGCTCTTGTGTGACCGCATTGATGGCCTCTTCATGTCAAAGTGGTGTCCGGAGACGTCTGCGTGGAGCATTGCCATGTCGTTGTCGGAGTGTGGTGGTGTGTGTTCTAGTGTCCTGGATTCTGATGATTGCCACTCGTTGTCTGCTGCAGTCGAGCTGTACGCAGACATGTGAGGCGAGGTAGGTGGAGACAAAGGGATGAGAAAGTTTCCGTCAACCATTGGGGCTTCTGGAACAGGTGTTGTGGATTTTACAGGAAGAGTGAGCTATATAGCTAAGACGCCTGTTGGGGAGTCGTTAGCTGGGGAGTAGGAGACTACCCAGGATGCCACTGCTTACCTGGATACTCGTGGTTTTCCAGGTGGTCTTCAACAGTGGCAGTCGATCAGTACCCGGTCCTCGTGCGGGGTTGGGTACGGGTGATCGGCGAGAAGGTGGTGAAGAGTTGTCACAAGGACTTTTGCCGATCCAGCGGAGAGAAGGCTTCAGGGATGCAGGTTTATAAGTTCCAGACCGTTATGGTGGTGGTTATGCGAGTCCAGACTCTATGCTGGTGTGTCGCAACGTCGAAGGGGGGTGGTGCACAGCAGCAACAGGTACCAACAACGATGAGGCCAGACAAAGATGGAGGCCGAACGTAGTAGGTGGTAGTGATGATGGTGATAGGGTGTTGCAAGTTTGGGCAAGATGATGATGAAGCGGAGAGGGGGGAAGGGATGTTCTAGTAGGAGTGAAGGCGTGGTCCCGCTGTCAATGATGATGAGGTAGAGGGCTTTGTAAAGAGAGTCAGGAACAGGCGAGGCTATATCAGCGATAGCAGCAGGGAGGGGATCAGATCATTCCAGAGCAAAAAGGCTTGACGGGGCCCTAATGTCGACGATCCGGATAAAATCGAGGGATAAGGGAATAGTGAAGACCGGGGTGATGGCATGCATGGACAGTGGTCCTTCTTAGGGAAACAAGATATCCTACGAGGACCTGGAAGCAGCTTGTTACACGACGAGAAGCGTGACTAACGTCGAGGGCCTAGCAGACCCCAAGAGCACCGGGGCACAGGGATGCGGTAGGTCGGGACGTGGGCCTACTACGCAGGAGAGACGGGGCGGGAACGAGCGAATCGAAGGGCTCTGGATCAGGTGTGCAGCCGGCCGGGGGGGCCTACCCTCGCTCGAGAAGGGGAGCGCGAGCGGTGCGTGAACATGGTGGGCTGCATGCTCCCATGCATAGACCATGGCCCGTGTAGAAAAATGGCCGACGAGCAAGGAGGGATGCGTGGCGTCAAGCGGTTGATGGTCGAGGCAGGTGGCGGCGCCATTATTGGCCAAATGCGATGCGGGAGCTCCAAGGAACCCGCCGTAAGAAGTGGCAGGGATGCGACAGGGCTCGGCAACGCTTGCACGGCGTGTTGCGGGGTGTTGCTGTCAATGCCGCCCTAGTATGGGTAGTGAGGGGACGAGGTGGTGGTTAGTGGTGGTGGTGACGGTAGTGGTGGTAGCGGGCAGCGGGCATGGTCATGGTACTTGATCTAGTGGTGGTGGGCCGAGGGTGGTAGCGGTACGGCCAGGGTTCGTTGGACAGCGGTAGAGCGGTAGCGGTAGAGCGGTAGAGCGGTAACAGCAGTCTTAGCGGTCATTGTGGTAGGTAGTCGGACCTGGTGGGTAGTGATGGTGGTGGTGGTGGTGGTGGTCGTGGTAGTTTTGGTGATGGTGCTAGACTTGTGTGCGTGTGTGTGTGTGTGCCTGCCTCTGTCCGCTCTTGCCTTCTCGCTCCCCTCTCACTCAGGCACACCCACCCACCCATACGCTCTCTCTCTCACTCTCACACACACCACACCACACCATCCCAACACCACACCAACCCCCCCCCCCCAAAGCTGCTACGCATGTAGAACCACCGTCGTCATGTCATGGCCCCCCGTCGGCTGGGCGTCAGTTGCAGAAGGGCTTGGTGGCTTTGGCAGAGGGGAGGCTTCTGGCAGCTGTCAAGTGTGCCACGGTCCGCAAATTGCGTATGCGCCAGGAACGCGGTGCATCAGCCTTGCCCGCCCACCATCGAGGGCGTGCAATGGAAGGGAGCCGCCTGTTGCGCGCACCGAGGCCAGATGCAGCGTTGCATAAACAACAAAGCGTCGTCGTTTTCAGCCGTCAGCCCATCATGGCATGCGTCGAAGCCGGCGCTAGGCCCCCATGTGTGTTTCTGCTTGCATACACATGTACACGAGCATTAGCACTCTAGTAGCAGCCCAGCACCACCGCTACCACCACCACAAGCACTCAAGCGCCCCGCGGCCTTGCATCCAAGAGTGTACCCCAGTCCCCCCCAAAGCTGGCCGTGACTTGTACACATTGAGTACATGGACGAGCAGCGGAAAACGATCTGGCTGGCCTCTCCAACGATCTAACGGCCAAAAGCTCGGCCCGCGCCGGGAAAAATGGTGGACGAGAAGAAGCAAGCAAGCAAGAAAAAAGCCGCCTGGTTCTCGAAGCCGGTTCTCGTTGTAGTGCGACGCGTGTAACGCTGGTAGGCTGTCGGTACTTCTGGTGACAGCGGCCAAATTATCGTCGCCTGTCAAGCGTCCGGCCTGGCCACCAGCCCGCCGTGAAACACGACCGTCGCAGTGTCTACGAGGGCGAGGCTGCCACGACCTGTACTCACTTACGCAGTTCCGCTCTCTCTGCAGGGAAAAACGCGCGATGCGCAAGCCACCCATGTCTTGCGCCGTTCCGTCGTGATCGACACAGTCCGTGTTCAAAGCAGATGAACGTCTAGCCGATGCGGCGCCTGCTGCCATCGCCCACCCATCGCCCACCCACCCACACACTCTCTCTTCCTGTCTATGTCTTTCCTTCTCTCGCATACAGCCCACAGATACAAACGCCTTTACTTCCACACGCACAACGAATCACACCACGACTCGCTCCGTCGCGCCCCGAGACACGGCCTCGTCGCCGTGCACTTGTTTCTTTTTCTCGTTGAAGCAGCCTAACTAACCACCAGTGTTTGGGTCGTTTTGCATGTTTCGCACCCGCCCAAAACACCTTTTGTGTTCATTCTGTGTATGTGCGTGTGTATGTGCGTGTGTACGTGCGTGTATGTGTGTAGCAGAATCAAGAACAACAAAAAAAGAAACCAAGGGCATACGCAATAGCCCCAAACCCACACAGACCCGGCGATGAAAAAAGGCCCCAAAATATCACACAATCCAGTACCGAACAAAGCACGGCGGACGGCGCTGCGGCGTCACCAGTCCCAGGTTCCCAAAACACTGCCAAGAAAGGCGGCACTGGGGGCTGGCGGATGAGTGCGGGTTTCGAAATGACAGGATCGCTCGCCCATAGCTAAACCGCAACTTTTTTTTCCGCCGGCCACACCCCAATTTGCCCTCTTGGGGCTGGCTGGCTGTAGAAGACTATGTAGGTTTGATGAGCGCATGGGTACCTGGGGACTTATCGGCACCACATGCCCGTCCGGCCCCCCCTCGTTTTCATCATGCTTGGGGCCCACGACGCTTTCTCTTGTTGCGTTTGTGTGTGTGTGTGTCCATTTGTTCCGCCCGTCATATGTCATCAGTAATGCATTGTAACGCACAGAACCCGCCATGAGCTCTTGTTTGAAGATATGCCCGGGTCCATAAGTTTTGGTTTTTTTTCCATCGGCCGTCGTTTGCAAGCTTGTCATGGATTCGCGTGTCCGGATGTGTGTCACGGCAGAAGCTGCATTCAGCCTTGGAAACACTGTTCCTTCCCATACACGCAGCACGCACACGCACCCCCCACACACCACACACGGCCGCTGAGCGGTAGTGTCAGGTAGTACAGGTCCCTTCATTTCGGAACGATGCACTATCTTCCACGTAGGTGGATTTCCGCGCTGACAACACACACACTCACTCGACATTTCGGCACTCCTCCCACTCCTCCCACTCACGCATCATTAACATACCCGCCCACACACTACTGTTTCTGTCAATGAGCCTGAACTGAACAAACGGGCCCCACCCCGGCATGCAACGGCAAGTCTGATTCTTGACCTCATTTCTTCCTACTCGCTCCATTCACACACGCAAACGTGCCTTGAATGACAAGGGGACCATCCGGCCCAGCCCTTTTTTTGTTGCCTTTCTCCCTATGCTTGGGGTTCCAGGCCGTCGTTACGTCAGGATCGTGGCCGGGACGGGTGCACATTTGCCACGCGCCTGGATAGATTGTTGTACCCTCTGATTCATCAAACCCCGTCCCTTTCATCTCCACCGCCCGGCTCTGCAGCCCCAATCAGCCCTTTTGGCACTTTGCCAATCGTGGCGCTTTGCTTTGGTCGCTGAGGGGCAAAATAAAAAAACCGTTTGGCGACAAGGTCCAGAAGTCAGTCGCTCACAGACACTTGCAATCCCCCCTCTCTTCGATCTATCGATACGCTGAGAGTAGCTCCGGAAGAAAAAAAATAAAAAGACCACAGACACACCAAAGGCCCGCCCCTCACCAATTCAACCCCCTCCCCTACCCTTACATCCTTACCCTGGCCCATGTGCTTTTCCTTTCTTCGCTTGCAGCGTCCATTGCTCCATCATTCCACAGAGAAAACGCCGCAATGCTCCCCATACTGCATGCAGACAAAAGAGGAGAAGCGTCATGGCCGTCTCGAGGCCATCGATAATTCCATAGCCCTAACTCGTCCACGCCGGCTTCTCTGCCCCTGCCGCTAGTACTACACTGCCGAATCCCCAGTCACTTGACTGTGTTGGCCGGCCCGCTGCTCCTCGACGCCCTGATGTTCGTTCTGCGGAACGGACCCCTACTCATCCGAACCAGTGGGTGCAACCTCAGGGCCCGTGGCCTCACTCGTTGAGCTGGTGGCCGGCTGAAGAGCCTCGAGCCCTTTGCCATGCTCAACTCTGTCGAACCTGCTAAGTTGACTCTTCGAGGCCACCCGGAGCCCTCGCCACACGTCACTCGCCTTGCTCTCTTCCAATTGCCGCTTTTCTTCGTCACCATCAGCCATGTCCATGTCCAGATCCCTCATTTGCACCCGTTTGCCATACCACTCTGCGTCTGGCACCTTGAACCTGGTCCCGGGCGTGAGCTTGCTTGCCATTATCCACTACTGTCAGTCGGGCCAACGGAGCACGTACCTATCGCTCTGCCGCAGCTGCGAAAGCCCCTTTTCTGCCTCATTGTTGTACAGAAAGTCGAACATGCTGGGCACTCCCATAGGCCGGGCTGCCTTCCTGCTCACTACCGCCTTCTGTGCCCCAGTCTTGGCCTGCTGCAAGTCCGTTGTGGGGACTCGATCTCGGGTGAATGGCTGACAGTTCTCCATTTTCCACCTTACCCAATTCTTGTCTCGTGAGAGCACCGTATCCACCATCCGGTAGTAGAACTTGCCATCCGGGCCCTCCTGCAGGTAATTTGCAATAGCGTTCTTGATGCCCAATGCCCACTCGGTCTGTGCTCTGTGGTCAGCCGGGTGAAGGATCATCATCGACGCAGAAGCGAGTATGCGTGCGTGACTATGCTCAGGACAGATCCACTTGAGTGGCGACATACCTGCTCCGCCCCAAGCGTGAAATTGTACTGCATCGCCTTCTGGGCATTCTGATAGAATGGCTTGCTCTTGGACTTCTCCGTCAGGGTCAGGAGAAAGTCAATTAGAATCAGTGCTTGGACCAGGATATGCCGTTGAAAGGCGAGGTCGCTCAGCTGGCAATCATCAGTTAGTTAGGTAGTCATAGCGCAGGATCCACTGTGGCAGTGCCACCAAGTACTTGCCTCGAGTCTGAAAAGGTCACGGCTTGTGAGGTATTTTGGGTTGAAGCTGCTGGCAAATGCGTCGTAATCTTCCCCTTCATCCTTTGATACCTGTCCCTTCTTGCGCTCAGAATCCCCCGCTTGGATCACTTTGGGGACCTCTTTGAATTTTGCTAGCGTCGCCTCTAAACCCTGCTGAAACTGTTTGAAATGATCCTCTTCGAACAATCTTGGTGGATTCGAGAAGGAATGCTGTAAGGACCAGAATACCGGGTACAGAGTGTCGACATCCAGAGTCTTGGGTTTTCCATCTTTTGCTTCGTCACCATCACCAGTCTGTGCTGTCCTCTCGTCTGACTCGGGCTCTTCTCTGATTTTAGGCACAGAATCATCCCCATCAACTTGCATAGCCTCATCCTGTGGCTGTGAATCCTTCAGAAAATCCTCGAATGTGGTAATGTTCTCGACGTGGAAATTGCCCCGCAAATTCACCGAACTTTTATCGCCCAAGGGAAAGCTCTGAAACATGAAAATATAGACGCGCCCGCAAAACACCGGATCCTCGGCGCGAGACAAGCGTCGAAGAAGCTCATTGCATAGTCGCAAGATGACAAGGTCCTTGTTCTTGGAGTTGATCTGGAAGCTGGTGAGTGAGACAGCCAAGATCAAAGCATCTAACCTACTGCAATGATGGCTTCCCTCCTCGACTCGAGAAAGTTAAACACAACCCGGCACCCTGAAATCGATTGGCTGTCAAGAAGTTCCTCGGTGAGCAGCAGGACAAGCTGTGGAGAACACAAGTCTGTGTGCTTTGTTAGATATACGCCGGCTTGGACGTAAGATGGACATAGGAGGTACCTCGGTCTCCACAGTATTGCAAAATATCGAGGAGGTTCCAAATGGTAACAAACTCCGGTGCTTCAATTCGAGTGGATCCCTGGACATGTAAGCAAGTATCGCAGGGAGGCAATAACAAGATTATGGCGGCTGACAAGATTGGCATAGAAGACACTCTTTGCTGCGCTCTCAACCGCAAGAGTGCGCACTTCCTTTCCACCTTCGATTTCACCCAAAAGAGGCTCGCCTTCCGGTACAAGCTCAGACACCTGCAGTGGGGGGTCAATTGAGGCAACCCGCTTGACCTCACGTGCGCGGCGCAATAGAAAGTCAAGCCTAGGTGCTACCGCATCTGCGGGAAGAAGACCAGGCACGGCCATTGAGCGAGAATACCCGTCGCGTCCAGGCTTCAATCACGGGCTGGAATAAGCAGTAGCGCAGACGTGCCTGTGCCGCTGGAGAACAGGAAAATAGGGGCGAGCTTGGTAACGGTGCTACAGTGGCGACTTTGAGCAAGCGGAGAGGTTATGTCCGTATGTCAAGTTCTGGTCATGGAGAGAGAGTGAAGCTACATTTGGGTTCTGAATGGCTTGATAAAGTTGCGCCACAAGTAAGCTTAGCGACAGGGATCCGTGCTCGTGGCTGAACGCGTCCACCGCGTCGCGTCCCATCGCATCCACGCCATACATACGTACACTACGCTTACTCTCCACACACGGGCTGCCACAACCTACGAATCATACAATGGCTCCAGGGAGCCCATCCGCACAAAATGATGACTTTGACGATGACCTGGACGATATACTCAAGGATGTTATAGAACCTGGCAATATAGTTGAATCCACCGAACCCCCCACCCAGCCAGAGCCATGGAAGAAGAATAAGAGCCAGGGTGCCGATACCGCCTTGGGCGTCGACGAGGACATTGTCATAACCAAGAAGCGTCAGCCTGCACCAAAACTTGACGACCAGCGACTCCTATCGGACCCTGGGATTCCCCGTCTGCGCAGAATTGCAAAAGAACGCCTACGTTTCAAGGGCAAGGGACATGAGGTATGTGCTAGAGAGCATGCATTCACACTTCACGTCTCTGATCAAGACACAGTATGGCGATATTGCACGCATGCTAAACATGTACCAACTTTGGCTCGACGACTTGTACCCCCGCGCCAAGTTTGCAGATGCCCTCGCCATTATCGAGAAAGTTGGACATACAAAACGCATGCAGATTATGCGGAAAGACTGGATCGACGAAGGAAAGCCAAGGCGTGCTGCAGATCGAGACAGCGATGAAGACGATAGGGCTGCAGAAGAGACGGCTGTTCAACGAACCACAGAGGGTATGGATGGCGTGCAAATCAGCACTGGCAATGGTGTCGAACAACAAGGAGGCGTACAAGCGCCAGCATTAGATACGACAGAACACACGGCAGGTGAAGGACCTGACGAGGACGAACTGGACGCTTTGCTAGCGCAAAGTGAAGAGCCTACTACTACACTCACAAAGACGCTCCCTACACGGCCCATGCCCACTCAGGAAGATCCTTTTGCAGACGAGATGGAAGCCATGGCGGACATGGATGACATGTGGGATTGAGTCAATGTGTGAAGCACCTTCATGATGTAATTGCATAGCGCGGCGTTTGACGAATGTTCATGAGTTACGATTGGGCCGCGTGCGGACGACATCATTTGTGTCAAATTGTCAGCGCGGGCGCCAACAGTAATAGAGTTTCGGCGTGTATGATCGGGCACGGTTCCTAGCGGCAAAGTGTATATCTGCCTCGGGATTCAGGTCAAACACTGGAAAAACTGGTTCCCGAAAGCGAGCCCGATTCTTATATTCACCCTTGAATCAAACAGGAACCAAGATACTCTGATGGTACGCAACGAAAGTGGGGGTTAGAGGGCGACTGTAGAGATTAGAAGAAGAAGAAAAAGCACAAATGACAATACCCTAAAGATACCCAGAATGATTAAAATATCTGTGGAAATAATACACTCCTCGTATTGCTTCTGCCATAAACCGTTAGTAGTCGAATCATTTTTCTTCTTACAGCTGCTGCACTGTGGTTAGGTGCGCCCCGCAGCGCCTCATTCGGCGCGAGGCTTGGCGTGTCCAGCAACGTCATCTATTTTCTCAAGCGCACCATTAGCCACAGGCTCCCAACCACGTTCACCCTCAACCCGTGAACATGGAGGCCTTGTCTGGGCAACTGGAGGAACTACGGCTGAATAGCAGTAAGCTCGATGAAGATGAAGGCTGGATAGACTCATTAGCCGGCAAACAACAAGCACCCAAGCGCCAGCGGAAAACCAAAGAGGCCATCAAAAAGGAGCTCGAGCAAGAGTTTCTGACGCCCTCCCGGTCTTTCAATACGCAGTGGCTTAACCGATTCCAGCAGCGCTGGGATGCTCCTACAAACTATCGCAGTCTGTTTCAGATCGCCCCGACACAAACCCGCACCATTATCCGCTTCACGCGAGAAGGCCTGGAAGGCAGAGTCACTGGATACAAGGAGGTCACTGTGCCTGCAAACTCTGCAACCGCTAAAAACTCTACATCCCTCCTCAGAAAACCCGCTAACAGAGCCGAATTCGTCCGTGGTGCCGCTGGTTTTTTTCCGTTCGCACCTGGTGGTTTAGAAGGCGTGGAAGCAATCGCGGCAATTGAGGACGAGGCCATTCAACAGCAAGAAAATGCTCAAGGAAAGAAAACTGGAGGCCTCGACCGGGTGATCAATTTTAGCGCTGAAGGTGGCCTGCTAGAAATTCCACCCGGGTTCACACGCGGTCTGGATCTGCAGAAGAAACCCGCTACAGATTCGAACGTCGCCCAGGAGGTAGAGGACACTCTGGGACAGGCATCTACTCCTACAGATGAAACCAAGGCTGACGAAGAAGCTGACACTGACAACTTCGGTGCGAACGGGCTTGATGTGCCTGAGGATGGCCAAGACCCGGGAGAAGAAGAAATCGATGCTCTCTTGCCGGTAGAGTTTCCCGCTCTAGCTCCTCATGGTCCCCTTGCTATGGGCACTGCGAGAAAAGGTGGGAGAGAGTGGGCCCACATGGTCGACATCAACCGCGACATCACCAATTTCCGAGAACTTGTACCTGAGATGGCACGGGAATATCCCTTCGAGCTGGATACCTTCCAGAAAGAGGCAGTCTATCATCTTGAGAATGGGGATTCAGTCTTCGTAGCTGCACATACCTCCGCAGGCAAGACTGTCGTTGCAGAATATGCAATTGCACTTGCTGCCAAGCACATGACCAAAGCCATCTACACTTCCCCAATCAAGGCTCTCAGCAACCAAAAGTTCCGCGATTTCCGTCAAACATTTGATGATGTTGGCATTCTGACTGGAGATGTACAGATCAGACCAGAAGCCAGCTGTCTCATCATGACTACAGAGATCCTTCGAAGCATGTTGTACCGTGGCGCTGACTTGATCAGAGACGTCGAGTTTGTCATCTTCGACGAGGTGCACTATGTAAACGACCTGGAACGTGGTGTGGTTTGGGAAGAGGTCATTATTATGCTCCCTGAGCATGTGACACTCATTCTCTTGTCTGCTACTGTTCCAAATACCTATGAATTTGCTTCTTGGGTGGGCCGCACAAAGAAGAAAGACATTTATGTTATATCCACGCCCAAGCGTCCCATCCCACTAGAGCACTATCTTTGGGCTGGAAAAGGCATGCACAAAATTGTCACAGCAGACAAGAAGTTCATCGACAGTGGTTGGAAAGACGCAAACGACATTCTCTCTGGAAAAGACAAGGTCAAGGCACCGGCCGCAAACGACTCACAGGCTGGTAGAGGAGGCGGTGGCCGTGGAGGTTCATCTGCTAGAGGAGGCCAGAACCAACGGGGAAGAGGGCAACAAAGAGGCGGTCGGGGCGGAGCCCCCCGCGGCGGGGGCCCACCAGCAGCCAGAGGCCGTGGAAACATTGCAAGGACAGGCCGTGGCGGAGGCCGTACCACAGCCGCACAAGATCGCAACATATGGGTGCATCTCATTCAACATCTGCGTACCAAAGATCTGTTACCAGCCTGTATATTCGTGTTCTCGAAGAAGCGTTGCGAAGAAAATGCAGAAGCACTCTCGAACATTGATTACTGCACCGCTGCAGAAAAGAGTGCTATTCATATGACCATCGAAAAGTCTCTGGCTAGGCTAAGCCGCGAAGACCGTGAGCTCCCACAGATTAAACGCTTGAGAGAATTACTTGGTCGAGGTATTGCGGTCCATCACGGTGGCATGTTGCCTATTGTCAAAGAAGTCGTAGAAATACTCTTCGCCAAAACGCTCGTCAAGGTCCTCTTTGCAACTGAGACTTTTGCCATGGGCCTTAACCTTCCTACCAGAACGGTTGTATTTTCCGGATTCCGGAAGCACGACGGTCGAGAGTTCCGCGACTTACTCCCTGGTGAATACACTCAGATGGCCGGTCGTGCAGGACGTCGAGGTCTCGACACTGTTGGCACTGTCATCATCTGTGCGCCTGGCGCCGACGAGGCACCACCAGCAGCAAGACTTCGACAGATGATGCTTGGCGAACCCACCAAGCTTAGGTCACAATTCCGCCTCACATACAACATGATGTTGAACCTTTTGCGAGTTGAAGCACTGAAGATTGAAGAGATGATCAAACGGAGTTTCAGCGAGAATGCGACCCAGGCTCTATTGCCAGAGCACCAAGGCAAGGTCAAACTCTCGGAAGCCGAATTGGAGAAGATCAAACGCGAACCTTGCGACATCTGCGATATCGATTTAGAAGCCTGTCACCAGTCTTGTGAGGACTACAAGAGGCTAACCAACGAGATGCATTTGAGCCTAATCATTAACCCTGTTGGGCGGCGAGTTTTTAGCAAGAATCGACTGATTGTCTACAAAAAGGTACACTGTCTACTCCAATACTCGTGCTCGGTCTAACATGTCACTGCTAGGATAATAAACGCACAGCAGGCATGCTCATGCAGGATGGTACGAGCAGAGGCAATGAACCTACGGTGAAGGTCTTGGAAGTGGCGCAACATCAAGATCGTAAGCCTGACGACTTACTGCCATATCTCGGTCCGTTTGCACAGCTATATCGCAAACTGCCGAACAAGCCGGGAGATCTGATTCTCAAAACCGCATTTGTACCCTTGAACGATATCGAGTGTTTTACAAAGACTACCATTGACGTCCCTGACTCTGTCCAAAATCTCAACCGAAAGAAAGGTAAGCGCCTGCCCTAAGGCCGCAATACGGCACTAAAAATACCTCAGATACGCTAAAGCTGGCTCAAGACCAGTTCTTGCCACTGTGCGGGTCATGGGACTACGAAGACTGGGATGAATACGATTACAGCCGCATCAATAGCCTCAAGTTCCGAGAATTGGAAGAGGCTCGCAAGAAGGAGGGACTAAATGCGGTTAGCAAAGAGTGTTTGAGGTGTCCCAACTTCCTAAAACATGTAAGGAATGCGAACTGAGTAGCCGCATATGTATGCATGATGCTAATCGCTGCAGTTTGCCATGGAACACGATCAGTGGCTCATCAAGGAAAACATCCATGCACTCAGACAGCTCATGTCAGACCAGAATCTCCAGCTCCTTCCCGATTACGAACAGCGTATCCAGGTCCTCAAAGACCTTGGTTTTGTTGACGAAGGCTCGCGCGTAGAGCTAAAAGGCAAGGTAGCCTGCGAGGTATGCCCCTCATCTGTCCCACTACTTTCGAGTCATGTCCTTACAGCATCCAGATCCACTCGGCAGACGAGCTGGTCCTTACGGAACTTGTTTTGGAAAACGTACTCGCCGAGTATGAGCCCGAGGAGATCGTCGCACTGCTCTCGGCGTTTGTCTTTCAGGAAAAGACCGATGTGGAGCCCACTCTGACAGCGAGCCTGGAACGCGGCGTGGCCAAGATTGTCCAAATTTCAGAAAAGGTCAACGAGATTCAGACTAAACATCAGGTCATCTTGTCGGCGGATGACTCGAATGACTTCGTCAGCAAGCCCCGCTTTGGAATGGTCGAGGTCGTCTACGAGTGGGCACGCGGTATGTCATTCAATAGGATAACGGATTTGACGGACGTCATGGAGGGTACAATTGTCCGCGTCATTACCCGTTTGGATGAGACATGCCGTGAAGTCAAGAACGCAGCTCGGATTATCGGAGATCCGACGCTCTTTCAAAAGATGGGAACATGCCAGGAACTTATCAAACGGTATGTGCACCTTTTTTGTTTCCGGAATCTCGTCCCGAGTTCCACGGTAAGGGTGTTGTATGATGGCGGTATTTGTTTGCTGACGGCAGTTTCTGAAACAGGGACATTTGCAATTGTGCCAGTCTGTACCTGTAGTGGGCCCGCCAGCTTACAGGTACATGCTTTCAGAAAGACGGCGTGGGTAACCTGGGCGCATGGACCATGCTGGGGCAGGCCGAATGTTTCAAGTTTTTGTTTGAACGGGAGCATGGATCACGTCCTGCAACAAGGAAGATTTCCCTCCCGCGCCACTTGTTGGGAAGGGAGACGGGAAGATGGCCATTGCGATCGACAAAACTCGCTTTCGCTTATCGGTTTCAAGTTCCGTGTTTTA